CTTTACTTGGCACTGGTAATTACTCATTGTTTTGATACTCAGTTACGTACATACTCTATCTTACTAGCCTATTTGATGCCACTCCTGCGTGGGCAAAACTTGGCTTGTTATTACCTCTCAAAATGTCAATAAAAACTTTGAAACAGAAAAACTCCCAGATTGCATGTTATCAATTTCCAGTACTTTTACTGTGACCAAGTATTTGGTATACTTTATTGAACACTGCAGTAGGAATGCATGGAAAGTAATTTTTATCTGTCCAAATTACTGTTAGCGTGATTTACCCTCCTCTGTTGACATTTTACCAGACACAACGTTAGGATAGCGATCAGAGGCCCAAGTAGAAGTAAAATCTCTTTCTCGCTTTATCCTAAACTGAGAAAAATTGCTCATGGATGGACATACCCCTTAAAGCTGCAATCAGCCTTCTCTCTCATGCCCTCAGTATTAAATTTATTTAATACTTTGTACAAAATCACCACTAAGTATAGCCCATACTCTCTCAACCAGGGTGTTGCAGTATCCTGGTTGAGAAAGGCTGACTGGCTTCTCTGCCTCCAGGAGACAGAGAAGGGCTGGAATGCAGAACAGAAGCTGGTTTAGGGCAGTGGCGTGAAAGAGAAGGCTGCTTCTGTAGTCCTGCCAACCTGCCCCACCTCCCTGTACTATGAAGGACTCTGTAAAGAAGCATTTTACCCAGGAGTGTGGATACTGACTGTGAATTGTGACATGTGAACGTGTCAGCCAGGTACAGCAAAATGCAGTTTTTCAAAAGGCTGTGTATATATATATGTGTATATATATATATATATACATACACACACATACATACATATACATATATACACATACATACATATATATACATACACACACACACACACACACTGTATTTATGTATGTCTGTACATTACTGTAAGGCCTCATTCTTACAGGTGTACATAAGCATATACCCACGCAAGGGCCATGTTTTGCCCGCAGAGGTGTCCTGCAGACAGTGTGGGTTCAGGGACCTGTACCCACAATGATGTCAAATTGGGAGTAGCAGCTGTGTCCCATTTAACATGAATGAGGCTGCCTCCATAGAGATGCATGAACACCTGTGTATCCCCTTGTAAGCAATCATGGCTCTCGGACAGATGATCATCTACAGTAAGTATGCTTGTGCGAATGAGGTTTACACTATACTTGAGGCCTTATTCCTGACCCCTATGCTCTGTATGATCAGAACTGCTTTTCTGAGATGCCTTAAGACTGAAAATACTTTCAAAGGGTGCTGTGGCTGAAAAAAGGTTGAGAAACACTGGTATAGACGAACACCCGAAAAATATACAGCAGGTAAAATAAGTATTGAATACGTTACCATTTTTCTAGGTAAATATGTTTCTAAAGGTACTATTGACATGAAAATTTCACCACATATTGCTAACAAGCTATGCAATCCTTACATACAAAGAAACCAAAACAAATACAATCAGAAATTAGGTTATGTGTAATAAAAATGGAATGACACAGGGAAAAAGTATTGAACACGCTAACTGAAATGTATTTAATACTTTGTACAAAATCCTTTGTTGGTTATGACAGCTCCAAGATGTCTCTGGTATGGAGAAACTAATTGCATGCATTGCTCAGGTGTGATTTTGGCCCATTCTTCCACACAGTCTTCAAAAATTAAAGGTTCTGTGGGCCTCTTTCATGAACTCTGGTCTTAAGTTCTTTCCATAAATTTTCTATTGGATTCAAGTCAGATGATTGCCTGGGCAACTCTAGCAGCTTTATTTTCTTTCTTTCTTTGAAACCAATTGAGTTTCCTTGGCTTTGTGTTTGGGATCATTGTCTTGCTGAAATGTCCACCCCCATTTTGCCTTCATTATCCTGGTAGATGGCCGCAGATTTTTATCAAGAATATCTTGGTACATTTTTCCATTCATTCTTCCTTCAATGACATAAAGTTTGCCAGTACCATATGCTTAAAAAACAGCCCCACGCCATTATATTCCCACCTCCAAACTTCACTGTTGGTATGCTGTTTTTGGGGTGATGTGCAGTGCCATTTGACCTCCAAACATGGTGTGCACTATGGCATCCAAAGAGTTAAATTTTGGTCCTATCTGACCAGACTATATTCACCCAGTTTTTCACAGGCTTGTCTAAATGTTGTGCAGCAAAACTTTAAATAAGCTTCAACATGATTTTTCTTCAGCAATGGAGTCTTGCGTGCTGAGCATGCATACAGGCCATGGCGGTTGAGTGCATTACTTATTGTTTTCTTTGAAACAATTGTACCAGCTAATTCTAGGTCTTTGTGAAGCTCTCCACAAGTGATCCTTGGCTCTTGGACAACTCTTCTGGTTTTTTTTTTTTTTTTTTTTTTCACTCTTCTGTCAGAGATCTTGTGAGGAACACCTGGTCAAAGCCAGTTTATGGTAAAATGATGTTCTTCCCCTTCCAGATTATGGCCCCAACAGTGCTTACTGGAACATCCAGAAGTTTAGAAATACTACTGTATCCAATGCCATCAGTATGTTTTGCAACAATGAGGTTGCGAAGGTCCTGAGAAAACGTTCTGATTTTTCCCACCAAGGAGATGTTTCTTATGAGACACCTTTTTATAGGTCAACAGGTGAGACTCAACCAGCTGATATTAATTTGCACTGACAAGGGGCAGAATCGCTTTCTAATCAATGATAGATTTCAGTTGGTGTCTTGGCTTTCCAAGCCTTTTTGCACATCCCTCCCTTCATGTGTTCAATACTTTCTCAGTGTCATTCCATTTTATTACACAACTTAATTTCTGAACATATTTGTTCTGGTTTCTTTGCATGGATTGCATGGGTTGTTTGTTACCGTCCTGTGGTGAAAATTTCAGGTAAATAGCACCTTTAGAAATATATTTGGTGATGTGTTCAATACTTATTTTACCCTCTGTATTTGTAGCAAGCAATAAGAAATATACCCACTGCCTTGAGGAAATCTTCAGTCCGTCTTGGACTTCTGTCACACGAGTCCTCTACTGTAGAGGGATAAAAGAAAATCTGATTTGTACTCTGCATTCCAGAGCCTCAAGTATAAGGTTAAATGGTGTTTATTTCTGTAGTAGTTGAACAGCTTGTTTTTGGATATTATTCTTTAATATGAATCAAAAGGAAGTCAGTGGGGGGGGGGGGGGGGGTATTCTGAGGTTCAACTGGTCCCTTAAAGCACCCTCAGTTTCTTTGGCCATTTATATAACCATGAAGATTGATAAATCAGCTAAGACATGATCACCCCTATCAGATAGTGGTCTTTACCATTAGGAATCCTCAATTATGACAAACAGTTGGCATCATAGATGGATGGAAGAAATACTTTGGCTTTATCCAAACCTTTCCAGATACAGGAATTACTCATCACACTAATCAAATTCTTTAGAAATTGTGGAGGCTGTGCCTTAGTGGAATTTAGCAATTAGCCTGTTAAGTGCTGTCCTTGTTGAATTTACTCTTGCAACCACTTTAGTAATGTAGATCATCTATGATAATTTTGTATTAATATGCCTGCAATTCACAGAGTATTGCTCCTACTTGAATCTCTGAAATGAGACTACGCCAACGCCACAAAGTGCTATCTGACACATCCCGTTCATAGCTCCTACATACTGCTAGTTGCCAGTTTAATATCAATCCACTATGCAGCTGTGCTTGTAATTGTATAGAAAATTACTCTTTTTTTTTTTTTTATGTGGGGATTCTTTTATTTTGGTCTGCTACAATTAGCAGATGTATAGCACTCAGGTTGAGTGATTTACTATAGGCTCCCCTGCTAAGCTAGTCCTGCATGGTGCACACCAGTGAATCAATTGGCAATGAAAATGAACCACTGCACTTCAGGATGCAGCAATTTTTCTTGTTTATTTAAACAGCAGCAGGAGCCACATCTGGCAGGTTTTGCTCTTCAGGGCAAACATGTCAGAGGTAACCCCTGTAACAATTTAAATAAAAAAAGTTCCTACAACCTGCATAGTGTAGAGATTCATTTTCATTGCTGATTGTAGAGTAAGGGTACATGGCCGATTTTAATCTCTGGCTACTGAGAGATTAAATCACCACTTGTTGACAGTCATCTTATTAGCAGTACATGGAATTCGGTGAGCTGCAAATGAGATGACTGCCAACAAGTGGTTAAATCTTTCTAGAACAAGAGATTAAAATCATCCGTTTAACCCTAGCCTTACACTTACTTAGCAAGTTTGTTCATAGTTTTAATACAAATGGAACTATGTATTAAAAGCATTTCTGAAATTAGAAATTTCAGACAGTAAATTCTAAAGAAAGGGGTAAGAATGAAAATATATAAAAGCAAGTCACACCACACACACAGCTGTCCATGAAGTAGTAGACCTTCAGAGTCTTGCAGACGCATTCCACAAGCAATAAAAATATTTCAGCTATGCAGGTCACATACACAGAAACCTCAGTACAGGCTGGGATTTTTCTTCTCACTCTAGCCCTTATCATTAAAAGAGAAATGGACTGATTTAATCATTATCATGTAATAGTTGTCTATTACTTGAAAAGACCACAAAGCAGGCAGTACTGAAACGGAGTAATGTAGCAAAAAAAGTATTATAAGTAAACAAACAAAAAGTCAAAGCATCATGTACAACAGTATATTGTTTACCAACAATAGCAATGCACAACAAAAAGCTGTTAAACCATTATGTATATGCATTTAACTGGAAGAAAGGCATCTTGCATTGCATAAAGATAGCAGTTTCACTGCCTCCAAACCATCATAACTCAACATTTATTAAGGTGACTTCACTCTTGTGCTACAAGCATTTATCAGGAAACAATAAAAGTGTAAGCAGCCCAGCAATGTAACACTTAAAGCTGCAAATTACACCATGAGGTCACAAACTGCAGGCCAGGTGAGGCTCCCGTTGCTCTGAAAAGGGGTACATAAGGTCAAGGTAACTTCATTCTCCCTGATAGCAAATTTATGTCCAAGTTAGCTCTTCAGTTCTTGAATCTTGTTTGTTCACAAATGTGGTTGAATTTCCTTAAAAACAAACGAAAAATTTACTGCATAATTTACATTAAATATTTGGTTAGAAAAAAAAAAAAAAGTAAAATTTTATATAAACGTCTTTGCTTTAAGCAAGATGACTGTCAACAAGTGGTGATTTAATCTCACCTTCTCTCCAGTGATGCGCTATCCTGCAGTTCCCTGCTGATCACAGACATCTTCAGCCTGGCGGCTTCTGGATATCGATTCCCAGCTATTTTAATTGGCCAGACCAAGATGACGTGTGTGCACAGCTCAGTGTACAGTGTGGACAGGTAAGTAAGCAACTTTAACCGCCTCACGCCTGCCATATAAGGAAATGATGGGCGGGTGACGGCTCTTTCGTTCTGGGAGGACGTCATATGACGTCCTCCAACTCTAATTGAACATGCGCGCCCCCGGGGGGCGTGCGGAGATCGGTGGTGCGTTGTGTCCCTGGGACACAGCAGATCATCAATCACAGTAAAGAGCTGATGACACTTGCTCTGTCATGTGATCAGCTGTGTACAATCACAGCTGATAGCATGTAAAGAAGGAAATGCTGGTTAATCGGCAGTCCTCTCCTCACACTGACAGCTCATGAGGAGAGGAGAGCAGGTAAGCGGCATTCCCCAGAGGGGTCATCTACACTGATCATCATGGCATTGATGATCAGTGTAGCCCCATCAGTGCCACCTGTCAGTGCCCATCAATGCCACATATCAGTGCTGCCTTTCAGTGCCATATGAGTGCTACCTTTCAGGGCCACCTACTAGTGCCTCCTCATCAGTGCCCATCACTGCAGCCTCTATGGCACAAAACAGTGAAGGAGAAAAATTACTTCTTTACAAAATTTTATAACAGAAACTAAGAAAAAAACTTTTTTTTGTATCCTTTATAGAATACATTCTGTACTGTAGATTCATTGAAAATCTTGTGGCATACATACATAAACTGACAAAATAGTTTCAAACTACTGCATGTTTGATCAGCAGCTGCAACAAAAGCCATATCTTTGGTTTTAGGGTATTGTGGTTTAGTGCCATTACTGGTTGTTTTGATCATTTATTAAAGCTGAACTGCAGGCACAACAACTTTCATTAGCCACAAAGCATTTAAATCACTTTGTGTGCACCAAATTTCTTTGCAAATCCAGGTACCTGTCAATGTCTCACTGGGGAAATTCCCAATCATTTCCTTTTTCAGGTCTATATGTGCCTGTTTCTATTTCAGCATGAAATAGAAATTAGTGCAGGTCTGCCCCTAATTAACAGAGAGAATACAGCAGTTTTCTATATAGAAAATTGCCACAGACTCCTGCCAGGTGTGGCCTGTCATAAGGGATGTGAGCTGTCAGCAGACAGCTCACGTCCCTTTTTCTGCCCCTGCAGTGATCACACAACATGAAAAGAACCTGCAGAGTTAACAACCCTACTTCTCTCTTCCACTTAGAGCTTAGCGGAGGATAGGGCCAGGCAGAGAGATCACAGCAAGGAGCTCCAGCTGTCCATTCTCTGTGCTGTATCTGTCACATTTCTATGGTGCTTACAAAACTCTTTGGCACCAGAACAATTGAGGATGAATTAACAAATGTTTTGTCTACCTTCACTTTTTGTCTTGGTAGCAATGGTCACCAGACAAGGAAGCTGAATCACCCAGTGTGGACACAAGCAGCAACAATAATCTGATAGGGGTTCTTAACTGTTCCCCACTCTATAAAAAACATATATAATTTTACACACGCACGCGCACACACACACACTAAAAACTAGTCACACCCAAAAGTGCATTTTATTGCAGGAGAAATATTGCAGGAGAAATATTGCATGCCTCTTCTGCAATGAAATAACTTCTGCTGACAATTTTTTTTAGTGCCGCTTTAAATGTCACAATTCTAAACCCCTGTACTCAAAATCAGCTGAACTTGGTAAGCTCAAAAAAGGCAGGTGAAAAGTAAATAACTTGTCACCAGTATTGCCTGTAGTTTCCCTGCAGCTGATCCTTCCTCATTACAGACTTACCATGGCTTGTTCTGCAATGTGTCTTAATATTGATGTGGCCATCCTGGTAGGGGCATGACTTTGCTTTCTCATATTAGAGCCTCCAACAATGAGATTCACAGTAATTACATCATCAAATTACCCTTATAATTCTGCCTGCTTTCAGTTTTCTTTTTTGCCTTTAGCTGTGCTTTAATTGAACAAGCTGGGCTAGAAGCCGATTGGTTACTATGCACAGCTGCTCCAGATTCTGTCTGTTAGAAAATAACTCCCTTACAATGCCCTTTCTCCCTATGACCATACCTAACAGAGCAAATAACCAAGTACAGCATACAGAAATACTCACATGGCATGGTGAGCTTTCACCTGAGTTCTGCAGTTTCGGCCCCAGTAGCAATTTGGTCGTGATGTCACTGCCACTGGAAATAGCACAAAAACGTTATTAAATAATATTCGTAGAAAACAAAAATCAATTACTCAGATAAACACACAGTGTGAATATCACCACTGAAAAATCATTATAAGCTTCTCTATGCATTTAAATATGTAATCTAAATGCATATAACGTAGGTTTGAAGAAGTCACACAATATTACCCAAACTCAATATGATTACAACAGAAACAGGTGGGTAAATAATATGCAGTTTTCAGATATCATTAGAAAGAATAATATGCTTCTTGCCAGTTTTAAATATTACTACATAGCAAAGCTAGAGTTTTTATATTTTTCATTATAACAATGAATGCAGTTCAACCTTAGCTATGAGGTTCAAACTTTTCAACAGATTAGTATATTACATTGTACTGGCTAGTGTGTCACTAGCTAAAAGGAAAACAACATTTTTCAATAAAATTCCCTAAACTGAAGCAACGTATAGTCTCCTTTTTCAGAGAATATAGGGTGCTAATTCCAATGTCCTTCTGAAAATGTTAGTTGGCTGACCTGGGGCAAGTATTTAAATCAGAGTTTACCGCAGATCCAAAACAGTTTTTGCAAGAGTCTTCTCACGGACGTTGTCCGGACTAACTTGAAGATACCTCTTCCCCAGTCCTAATCTGCATACTTATTTTGGGTTAATGACTCAAAGTTGCAGAAGTTAGATAACTGGCATTTGCAACAACAGATGTCAGCAATGGCAATCTCTACAGGAATCCTGTACTGACAAACCTACATTTATTGAGATATATCTAAGGAGGCTTCTATCACTGATCTTGAAGGTGTATGCAGATCCAGTTCCTGTATTTCCATAGCTAGAATATTTCGATATATCAGTTTTACATATTATCAATGTGGAACAGCTACCTGGAAGCTCAGCAGGTGGTATGTTTTGCCTGTACTGGTAGGTTAGATCTCTAAAGTTACGTAGACCACAGAAGTAGCAGAGAACAGTAGATCCATTAATCCGGTAATCTGTGGGTCACAAGCATTTGAAAAGAAAAGCAAACATATCAGTTGGTAAAAGAGTCAGTTTACTATAAGTGAAACTAAGCATAAAGGACAAAAGGTATGTAAGACTATGATTACCATCATGATCCTGACCATACATTAGCCAAATTTTTATTCAGCAGAATTAAAATGTTAGCATCACTTCAAAAAGCACTTTCAGAATACAAGTGAGAAAACTTTGAATTCTGGAAAAATTTTGTTCAAATATAAATTTTTAACATTCGCTACTGGGTGGGTCATTGTAGTGATCCTTGCAATGTATAAACAATGTCACAAAAAACCGATACAAATAATTAGAATAAAAATGATTGCTGAAAAAAGCCATCTCAGAAGATGTTCATATTAGAATGGAATGACTGTTTGGAGAACAGGCCAAGAATAATAGGTCTCTAATGATTCTGTACAAAACGATGCATCTCAGGATGCAGGTTGTGGAGCCGTAATTCTCATCCTTACTTCACTAGCAAGCAGGAGGTACAGTTGAAGGTCTCTGAAAGGGATATAATGTGCATAAATGGAGCAGGTATTTTCTCCACAGTCCTTAGACTGCAAAAAATTGGATTTTTTCTACATACTTACCTGTAAAATCCATTTCTTGGAGTACATCATGAGACACAGAGCAGGCTATTCATGACTATGTAGGTTATATGCCACCTATAGGTGAAAGGATAAGTTCACCTTTGGAAACATGTTTCACCCATTGTTAGGGTGGAAGTGATTTTTAGGATGCAAGCGAAAACTAGAAACCACTCTAGGCAAGAAGATGGATGAGGACACAACATCACCTTATCCTGATACAAGAACGGATCCTAACATGAAAGTACCGCCAGCTCTGACACTCTTACTGCCGAAGTGATAGTAATCAAAGAAGCCACCTATCGAGTCAAAGGATTACGTTTCTTGAATTTGTTCAAAAGGTGGCTTCTGCAAGGACAGCCAAGACCAAGTTCCAAGTACACAAGGGCGCCCTGACAGACGGACGATCGCCCACGTTACACCCTGCACGAGGTATGAATCAAGGCGTGAGAAACAATAGTCTATGAGAATTAAAGGATAGAGACAAAATTTGACCCTTAATGGTACTTAAGGTCAATTTAATTTCCCTTCTGGATTGGAAAAAGGACAAAAACCTTTCAATCACACATCTGTGGGTGCCATTTCCTGGCTTCACACCAGGAAAATAAGATTTCCAAGTCCTGTAATGGAAGCTCCCTGAAGCCGGCTTCCTAGCGCTCAACAGTGAGGAGAAAACAGGACCCAAGACCCCACCGATCTTTGCAGACCTGGGCTTCTATAGCAAATCCTTCAATCCTAGCCATCGTAAAGCGGGATACATTACTAGACACAAGACAATAGGTCTGGGGGAACCGGAAGTGTCCATGGAGCATCAGCCTGCCAGATACACTATGTTGGTGTACCAAGCCTTCCTGGGCTAGGCCGGGCTACCACTAAAATCAGTGTTACCTCCTCCCGGATCCTGCGGAAAAGACATGGCAATAGTTGAATCAGGGGCAGGCATAGATTATGGGGAACTGGTCCCTAAGGTGTTACCAGTGCATCTACCCCTATTGCAAGTGGGACTCTGTCTGGACAGAACCGATATATCTTGTTGTAGAACCTGGAAGTCAGTAGACCCACATCCAGAGTTCCCCAACACTGGCATATTGCAAAGAATGTCTCAGGATGCAGGGACTACTATCCCGGTATCAGACCTCTAGGAAAAAGAAAAACCTCTGCCAATTTTTACCTGGAATATGTACTGCCGACAGAGTAGGCACACACTGTTCTGACCCAGACAGAATGTGGTTCATCTCTTCCTGAACCGTACCACCGAGTCCTGGTGCCACCGTGGTGGTTGATATACGCCACTGCCTTGGCATTGTCGGACCAAACCCTGACCACAACCTTTGCAACTGGTTCATCCAAACCAGAGCAAGGTGTACTGCCAGATGCTCCAAGATATTGATGGTCAGTATGCTCTCCTGTGGAGACCAAGTCCCCTAAACTGTAGCTACCTCCAAACCAGCCCCCCAATCAGAGAGACTAGCATAGATGGTTATTATCTTTAATATCACTAGAAGGAAAATTACCCCTTCTCCAGATTCCAAACAAACAACCACCAATTCAGACTCTGCAATACCCTGGGGACAAAGCCCTCTGGCAATCCAATGCTTGGACCTTCATGGTACAGACAGAATGATCCTCTAGAATGGAACTGCACTTAGGAAACTAATACCTCTCTGCATGAGGAAATGGTAACTACGTTGAATAGCTTTGCTTGCTATATTTCACGTTAAACTCAGAACCGACTGCTCCCTGAGCAAAGGAACATTGAGGTATTCTGAGATTGACACCCCCTGTGTTCTCAGCAAGCCTAGCACCAAATCTAGGAACTTTGTGCACATTCAGGCAAAGGGCAGTGCCCCAAAGCAAAAATGGCGATTCTTTACTGCAAATCGCGAAACCCTTGATGAGCCTGAAAAAATTGCCACATGAAGAAGTGTCATTGAGGACAATGGACACCTGAAATCTCTTACAGAGGCCACCCCTGATCGGACTGATCCCATCCAAAACAAAAAGGACGTTTAGACATAGGTCTAGTGCCTTGAGATCTAAGATAGATCTCAAGTCCCCGTTTGGTTTTGGGCCTGCGAACCTGTCAAGTGTCTCGCATCTCCTCAGACTGCCCTAGCATCTTCTGCCCAAGATACTGCTCAAAACACAGCAGTCTCACACTCTGGAGGGGAAAGGCTTACAACACCTTGTATTCCCAGGCAGTCTCCCCTCCAAGTACTAACCAAGGCTGACCCTGCTTAGATTCCGCGTTCATATGAGATCAGGCGTGTTCAGGCTGATGCAGCTGCAGTCCATCGCAGGTCCGCCACCAGGAATAGCTGCAATGCCCGATACCTGCTTCTTTTTTTTTTCCACCAACACAAACTGTGCGATTCACCACCCAGAAGTAATAAACTCACCAGAGGTAGATGCTGGAGTGTTTAAAACCAGCATGCGTGGTGACGTGGTGTGCATGGCACATCACCACACATGCGAGCTTGTGGCTAGAGGGTCAGAGTGAGCTGGATTTGATTTTTAGCCTGCATACCTTTTGTCGGGAAAGACACATTTAAATGTGAGTGTACTATTTTATTCAGTTAAATTAATATTGTAAAAGATTTTATGCTATGAGCTCTCTTCTCTCCTCCACTTAGAAAACTTATGGGTGAAGGAGTTATAACACATCATATGAAGATTGCAAAAATATACAGTGAATCTTGCCAGTCTGCAGACTATTATTCCCAGAGGGGAATGCGCTGTATACTGATTTTAAACACACCAGCATCTACCTCTGGTGAATTTGTTTAGTACTTCTGGGTGGTGAATCTTAAAGTTGATGTAAGAAAAATGAAGCATTTAATAAAATTAAGTTTTGATGGTTTATTTGAAACAAGAATCACAATATTAGAACTGATTATATATATCTTTTGGATATATATATTTGGATATATATATATATATCTTTTGGAGATATATATATATATATATATATATATATACACACACACACACACACACACACACACACACACACACACACACACACACACACATATACATATACATATACACATTGCTCAAAAAAATTAAAAGGAACACTTTTTAATCATAGTATAGCATCAAGTAAAATAAACTCCTGGGATATTGATCTGGTCAGTTAAGTAGCAGACAGGATCGTTAATCAGTTTCAGCTGCTTTGGTGTTAATGAAATAAATAACAGGTGCACTAGATGGGAAATAATGAGATGACCCCCAAACAGGAAAGGTTTTACAGGTGGAGGCCACTGACATTTTTTCCCTACTCATCTTTTCAGACAGTTTTTCACTACTTTTCCATTTGGGTAGGGTCAGTGTCACTACTGATAGCATGAGGCAATACCTGGACCCTACAGGGGTTGCACAGGCAGTCCAACTCCTCCAGGATGGCACATCAATACGTGCCATTGCCAGGATTGCTGTGTCTCCCAGCACAGTCACAAGAGCATGGAGGAGATTCCAGGACACAAGCAGTTACTCTACGAGAGCTGGACTGGTCCGTAGAAGGTCCTTAAATCCATCAGCATGACCGGTAGCTGCTTCTTCGTGCAAGGAGGAACAGGATGAGCACTGCTAGAGCCCGACAAAATGACCGCCAACTGGTGTGAATGTCTCTGACCAAACAGTCAGAAACGGACTTTACGAGGGTGGCCTGAGAGCCTGACGTCCTCTAGTGGGCCCTGTGTTCACTGCCCAGCACCATAGAGCTTGATTGGCATTTGCCATTGAAAACCAGAATTGTCAGGTCTGCCACTGGAGCCCTGTGCTTTTCACATATGAGTGCAGGTTCACCCTGAGCACATGTGACAGACATGAAAGTGTCTGGAGAAGCAGCAGAGAACGCTATGCTGCCTGTAACATCATTCAGCATGACAGTTTTAGTAGTAGGTCAGTGATGATCTTGGGAGGCATATCCATGGAGGAATGCACAGACCTCTACAAACTATACAGAGGCACCCTGACTGCCATTAGGTATCGGGATGAAATCCTTGGACCCATTGTCAGATTCTACGCTGGTGCAGTGGGTTCTGGGTTCCTCCTGGTGCATGACAATGCCCAGCCTTATGTAGAGAGAGTATGCAGGCAGTTCCTGGAAGATGAAGGAATTGATACCATTGAATGGCTCGCCTGACCTAAATCCAATAGAACACCTTTGGGATATCATGTTTCGGTCCATTGGTTGCACCTCAGACTGTCTAGGAGCTCAGTGATGTCCTGGTCTAGATCTTGGAGGAAATACCCCAGGACACCATCCTTCAACTCATTAGGGGCATGCCCGACGTTGTCAGGCATGCATACAAGTACGTTGGGGCCATACAAACTTGAGTACCATTTTGAGTTGCTGCAATGATTTTTTCACTTTGATGGCATTGATGTCGGATGAGAAGGCCTGGCTCGCAGTCACCGCTGTAATTCATTCCAAAGGTGTTCTATCGGGTTGAGGTCAGGACTCTGTGCAGGCCAATCAAGTTCCTCCACCCCAAACCCGCTCATCCATATCTTTAATGTCCAAAATATCTTGGTATGCTGACGCTTTAAGAATTCCCTTCACTGGAACTAAGGGGCCAAGCCCAATCTCCAAGTAACAACCTCACCCCATAATCTCCCCTCCACCAAACTTTACACTTGGCACAATGCAGTCAGGCAGATACCATTCTCCTGGCAACTGCCAAACCCAGATACGTTCATCAGAATGCCAGATAGAAAAGCGTGATTCGTCACTCCAGAGAACACGTCTCCACTGCTCTAGAGTCCAGTGGCAGTGTGCTATACATCACTGCATCCAAGGCTTTGCATTGCTCTCTACACACGGTCGTTGTGCTAATCTGAAGGCCACACAAAGTTTGGAGGTCTTTACCTATTGACTCTGCAGACAGTTGGCGACTTCTGTGCACTTCAGCATTCGCTAACCCCACTCTGTCATTTTATGTGGCCTACCACTGCGTGGCTGAATTGCTGTTGTTCCCAGTTGCTTCCACTTTGTTTGAATACCACTAACAGTTGGCCGTGTAATAATTAGTAACAAGGAAATTTCATGGCTGGCCTTATTGCACAGGTGGCAACCTATCACGGTACCACATTTGAATTCACTGAACTCCTGAGGGCGACCCATTCTTTCATAAATGTTTGTAGAAGCAGTCTGCATGCCTAGTTGCTTGATTTTATACACCTGTGGCCATGGAGGCGATTGGAACACCTGAATCCATTGATTTGGAGGGGTGTCCCAATACTTTTGGCAATATAGTGTATGTATATTGATTTGTAAAAAAAGGAATGCAGTGCTAACCTCTTAAAAACATCATTTTGAGTTGGTTAGATTTACAATGGGTCAGCAGCAGCATTTCTGAATGGGATATAATTTGTATGCACATTGTTCATGTGAAATGTTTTTATCGAGTAACACTTTTCAGGTTCATGGTAATTAGGTATTCACTGTGGTAGAGTTTATTTAAAGTTTGTTTTCAAAATTAACTGCACTTGGCTCCATACTAGTTTCACAGGACTAGTCAAGCACATATGCACCAAACTCAGCCTGAATGCAGCCTCTATGCGGCTTCAATGCAGCCTAATGTAAACTCCAGCACATCAAATGCAAACTACTCTGGAGACACAACTCCTTTAAATGCACAGATACCCATGTAAGGGTGTATCAGAAACAGTTGAACAAGCCCCCAGGGATTATGCAGGCTATAGCAGTGTATAATCATGTCCTGTCTAGTCATGCAGCTCCCCCACAGGTAATGCACACCATCATCCAGTCATAGACTGCTATGTCTCTGGAGCTTCACTGATCCTTCAGCCCGTATGCGACTTCAAGCATAAGCCAAAATGCCTGCAACTCTAATTCCTGCCTCCAATGCACAAGAGTAGGTTATAGAGAGTGGCCTAGTGGCTGGAGGAGAAAACTGCAGCCCAGTATTTCTTCAGGAGACACACAGAGTATGGCCCTGCCAGACCAAACAGCATACTGCCCCAGCGGCCACCGGGAGAATGACCAGACAGATTTTCAGAAAAAGAAAAAAACACTGCAAATGTTGACCATTCCCGCCACAGGACTATGAATCATAATAGGAGTCCATCCTTCACTCATCACAGCGGGCTCTGTCATAAAAGACCTTCAAGGACTCCATCCCCCTTACATCTGGAGTCCACCCCCTTGGACCTGTATAGCACCCTGCTGGAAAGCACCTTGGTCAGAACAAACACTGCACAAGGTTTTATTATGCAGGATCCAGTGCCATAAGTCTGCAGTACAGGCAAACCTTGAGGATTCTTCTCTCCTGTTTAAAGAGGCTTGGGTACCATCAATTTTGGCTAACAGATTTTAAAATGGATCCATCTGAAATCCTTGACTCTTAGCAGAACCATTGAAGACCCCCAAGTATGCTCCAAGAGCACATTGCAGTACATCAGTGACCATCCATCTTACAGACACTGACAAAAAAAAACTGAAGTATTTCCTGTGTAGGAGGGGTTATATAGGGGAGGACTTCCTGTTTGATTGATCTGCCAGTGTCCATTCACCTATAGGTGGCATAAAACCCACATAGTCATGAATAGCCTGCTCTGTGTCCCGCGATATACGAGAAAGAAAAAAATCTTATAGTGGCTTTAGCCACTAACTAGGAAAATGGTTTTGGCTGGAGAGGGGGGCTTTAAACTAATACGGTGCAAGTGTAAAATTATTTCTCCATTAACTACATATAATTTATAGAGTGAATCCTTTTGAGTAATGTTCTTACATTATCCACTAATCCTACGGACAACTTCTGTGTGTACGTTTTTTTTGTTTTTTTTTTTTTACAGTTGTGATACACCCTGCTTGAAGAAGAGGCCAAGTGTCCACAATGAAACATGATGGAAACTGTTTTTGCCCACAATAAAGCCTTTTCTTGATGGCACCTACCTGATATGTTTGTCTTTAGACAAACTCTTAATACATGCTCCATTTGAAAGCCTCCAAAACTTCACTTCCATTAACCCAGCAGCACCAGACCTCTTCTAAGGACCATGGCTCTTTTACCTCCACAGGCAACCAGGCCTGCATGGAGACCAATATATTCTCCATATATGCCATCTTAGGCTGAAGTCACTCAAATAAGCTCTAGCAACATCTATAGAAGACTACTTTACTAAAACAAGACTTTACTACTCCTAAGTTTCTCTCTTCTGCTAGAACTAATGAACCATTTAAATACATCATCATAGCATATTACTACTGAGCAAGTCACTGACCTGAAACTGTCAGTGATCAGTATTAATACATTAATAATTACTATATTAATATCAGGCCTCGAAATTTCCACTCACCTGCTTGCATTTGGCGAGTGGAAATAACTTGGGGGCAAGGGCCAGATTGATCACACTGCCGATGGATATGGAGAGGGGTGCCGGCGCCTGGGGCGAACTAAGCTTTCAAGCATTTACACACTGCCCGAGGGCCCAGGGTCCTTGGGGGGGGTCCTATGACAGGCTCCAAAAAGGATGGGGAGGGCCGCAGGGTGGATTGTGCAAGTGTGCTCTGAGTCAGCTCCGGTGAGAGGAGAGACTGACAGAGCCCAAGGAGGACGACACTTCACAGACTGGTGAGAACTCCGCATATAACAGTGGGAGGAAGGGGGAGAACTGTCTGTGACCAGAGTGTTAAGAAACGGAGTGTGACAGGCTGAGAGAGCCAGAGGGGAGACGTGTGTGTGTGTGTGTGTGTCTCTATGTGTGTTCGTCTGTATCTCTGTATGTGTGCGTCTGTTTCTGTGTGTATATGTGCTCTGTATTCATTTTATGTAGTAGGGGGGCCCTGTGTGTGTTTCCGGGGGGGTGCACTGTACCATAATGGAGAACATGTATTCTAAGAGAGGGGGGTTGTGTGCTCATTATAACCTCAAATTATGGGGGTACGGAATTGTGAGTAGCTGAAATACTGATAACTCTCCCTTTCCCCCCCCCTCTCTTTTTCTCTCACCTCCTTCTCTCTCTCACCCCTATCTTTTTTCTTTTTTTTTCACCCCCCCCCCCATGGCAGGGGGGTGGGGGGGGGGGGTAAGTGTTAAGAGGGGGGTAGAGGACATGGGTGTGGAAGGGCGGGTATATCTTTATTTTTGTAACTTTATTCTGCATAAAACATTTAACAGTGTCATTTAAGGAGAGAATTTATAAGGGCGTGTTTAGGGGCGTGGCAGGGTAGGGGGTTGGGAAACTAGTGGCGAGTAACTCCTAAGGCCTGGCTAGTAGCTCAGGACTTGAAATTTTAAGCCCTGTTACTATATTAGAACAAGGATGAAGATGACAGCTGCAGAGACTTCATCTTCCAAAAATTTTCACTCGCGATAGATACCCTGTCCTGGTAGGTATCTTTTTACAAAATTAGGTTCATAGTTCATACAGATGTAAATCGATAGTGTTAAAACGGTCTATTTGACTCTGACAAAACATACGCAAGTCAATAATAAAAATAATAAGCAAAATCATAAATTGGCAACCCCATGCTTACACCTATATTGAAAGATGATATTTCTAGTTACATGATGTGCATGGCATGGAGCAGCTGGAAATGGATATTAAAGCAATAGCCCCATCTTGTGGATATGTGTTGCAGTTACACAGAGTAAACAGTTCTATTCGCATTCAGTAGACTTACCAGGAAGCATGAATACTCCTCTCTGAACTGCAGTAAGACTTTCATGTAACAAGTCTTTCCACGTTAAACCCCTGGATGCCAGGTAATTCTGTAAAAGAACACATGAAGCTAAAAATGAAATTATGTTTTGAACCATTATACTTTCATAATGCCACCAGTATACATGTAAATATCAAAACCTTACACAGATAATAGGCATAACAAATACAATAAGGGGCTTTAAAACGACAGGTGAAAGATGTATATATGTCCAAAATCATCCACACCTGTACAGCAATGATATGGTGTTCAGTGAGCTTTTTATATTATACAGGTCGTGGTCTTTCAATGGTTTTAGTTGAGTGCCATCTACATGATCTGAAATAGATTTCCCTTTTTAGGAGAGAGCATATCACTCACTTCAGTCAAATATAAAATACTGGTCAGGCTTTTACAGCGGTCTGTGCTCCCATTAGGGAGATTTACCCTCTTTGTCACGTTCACAGTATCACAAAGAGTGAAATAAAATCCAAATTTTGGGTTGTCCTCAGAACTGTAACCTTCTAATGAGGACACTAGCAGTGGCGACCCTGGTGACAACCAGGAATTACCTCAGTTTTGAGACTATGGGACAGGAAGTGAAGGGAAATTTCCCCAATGGGACACAGAAGGAAAAAAAAACCTGAAGGGAGTTAAATCCCCCCCCCCCCCCCCCCCCACACGGTCTTTAGTTCTACTTTAAAGCTGCTTAGGTTATACAGCTTGCACTGTATAATCAGAATGGCTGTCACACTGTCGTTCTCTTCCTGTAATATGTTTAACTGCCTCCTGCCCACCATATTAGGTAATGACGGGCGCAAGGTTGTTCTCTCGTTCTGGGAGGATGTCATATGACGTCCTCCCACTCTAACTGCGCATGCGCGGCTCCGGGAGCGCAGCGATCGGTGGTGCGTTGTGTCCCTCGGACACAGTGGATCACCGATCAACAGAAAGAGCCGAAGATGTTGGCTCGGTCATGTGATCAGCTGTGTTCAATCACAGCTGATCACATGTAAATAAGGAAATGCCGGTTATCGTCATTTCTCTCCTCACGAGCTGTCACGCTGACAGCTTGAGAGGAGAGGAGAGCCGGTAATCGTCATTCCTCGCAGGGAACATCTACACTGATCATCAGGGCACTGATGATCAGTGTGCCCTGAAGATCAGAGTAGCCCCAGCAGTGCCACCTGCCAGTGCCCATCAGTGCCACATCAATGCCACATATCAGTGCAAAAAATAAACAACCCAGGAGGTGAATAAATACCACCAAAAGAAAGCTCTGTCTCAAAAAAATGATAAAATTGTTCATATGAGTACAGTGTTGCATGACCCTGCAATTGTCATTCAAAGTGCGACAGCACTGAAAGCTGAAAACAGGCCTGGGAAGGAAGGGGGTATAAGTGCCCTGTAGGCAAGTGGTTAATCAACGCCCCATCCAGGTCCAAATGTTACAGTTGCAGTACCATACAATGCAACAGAGCTCTGTTATGCAGGGTATGTTGGAAAGATAAAATATTGTAGTTGCAGTATTTCAAAACCTACTTCGTTAAAGGTTATTGAATTTTAAGGAATGCATTACTGGACTAGAGAGTGGTTATTATACAGTATATGCTTCAAGTTATGTTTAAACAACATCAGTGTCACAATCATTTTTGGCAATACAACAACTTAATACAATTAACGGATAAAACCTTTTGAAATAAAGAAATCTGCAATAATTGATGAGATGCAGATTATTAGTAAACCTGCTTGACATTGCATGACCCCATAAGCAACACTTGGCAGCTGTCAGCTTAATGTAGTTTTAATTGAGAATCAACTGGATTTTGAGTAAAGTAAACCCTAAAGCAGGCAAAGTAAAGGCAACATTCTCATGTAAGTAAATGTTGGCATGTAAAATTAAGAAATCAGATCTAAACATATAAAACAGCTGAAAGGGGGAATGGGAAAGACAAATCAGCAATTTGTTGTAAACTTACTTTTAGAATGTCAGACTCATAATTGTTGTTGTTTAAAACAGAGTCTAAACATTTTTCTCCAAGATTTAACTCTGTGGAAAAACAGCAAAACAATTAGTTTACTTCAGATACCTGAGTGAAATGTGCAAATTTAACTTCATCTAAATCATCTCACAGACAACCAGTCACTAATAAGCATCTAATAATCATAAAGAAGAATTCCCAGTATGGATATTTTTTATATAGTTACATTGGTCCAGCTTAAACCTATTTAGCTTTGCATATACTATACCCATGGGATCCCTCTAGAACAGGGGAGGCAACCTGTGGCTCTCTAGCTGTTGTGGAACTACATTTCCCATGAGACATTATAAAACTGACAGTTACAGCTATGACTTGCACAGGCATGATGGAACTTGTAGTCGTGCAACAGCTGGAGAGCCGCAGGTTGCCTACCCCCTGCTCTAGAAGATAGAAACTTAATGTAGTTGCCACCCTTTTTCTAGTAATTTGTGCTAGCTTCCAGGTTCTGCTACACTGTGAACACAGGAGGTCACTAACTCAGCATGGGCACCCATTCAGAGAATGCTTTGCATTTTTCTCAATGAATGTGAAGCATTCTCTAACTGAATGAAGTGGAGAGCATGACATCACCACCCCAGCTCGAAAATTGATATCTATAGCTCATGGTACATTACCATTAGTAAGTTGTAAATATAATAATATATACAAAAGTTGAATGTGGCATACCTAGCTTGAAAGCCAGAGTGGGTCATTATTTTACAACTTTGCTAATAATAATGAAATAAATAGCAAGGAAAAGAAACACAGAAAGTGAATATTGTAGTATCCCTTTTAAATGCTCCTTTAAATCAGTGGTGAATGGAGTACCCTCTACATCGATGGTCAGCGAAGGAATGCCACCATACAGTAATGTCGATGGAGTACACTTTTACACTGGCAGCCAGAGGAAAAGAGCCCCTTTACATTGATGGTCAGTATAAATCAATCAGTGGAAGAGTTTCCCTTTACAGTGGTGGTCAGAAGGTGAGGTGCCCCCCTACATTGGTGGTTAGCAGGGGAGGTGCTCCCTTACAATGGTGGTCAGTGGTAGGTATGCTTTGTTACAATCATCAATGCTCAAAAGAACTCCTAGCATTTCCTAGGGGAATCTTGGTTGAGAAAGTCTGCTTTAAAAACCCTAATGTTGTGAATCAATACAGGTTTCTTAGATGAATTAATTCTCTAATTTGAAGTGCTTGCTTGTGATTGGATGCTAAACCTTTTTGCAATTTTGATCAGATGATCTTAACCATCTTTCAATTCTATGGGCCCTGCGCTTAAAAAATATATAGTTTAATGGACCTTTCACAAATGTTCAAGTTTGTAATGTGTATGTGAAGTGTCCGGCAGTAAAAGGGTTGAAATATCTGTGCACCCAGGAGCTGTTGAATTTAGCAACAAATCCATACATTACCCCCTCCCCATTTTTTCTGCTTTCAGCACATCAACTTCAGGGACATGTTCAGTTGTTGCCTAATATATGTCACCAACTTTCAGATGTCATTGTAATGAGATAATCAATGTTGTTGACTTTACCTCAGCGGTCATAATGTTATGGCTGATCTGTGTATGTATTCTATGTTTTACAATGCAATTATGCATGTATAAGAAATAACAAAGGGGTACAAGGGTAGCCTGTGAGTTAGGTTTGAGAAAGGGGGGTGTTCCCCTGAAACACATCACCTACCAAGTATACGGAAGTGGGCAGAGTTTCAATGGAACATAGAAACATGAACTGAAGTTTCCAGGATGCTAGAACAGCCAGAGGAGACTGTTGCAGTACCAGAGAAGCCATGCCACATAGCAGAGAGTTTTCCAGGACAAGAAGTGGAAGGAATTGATCCCCGTAAAATAAGAACCTGATAGTTGTGTTTACCCTTCTCCACAAAACAATACAAACTGGAACTTTACACCAAAAGTTAAATACACAATATAAATACAGTATGTGTGTATGCTTTATTTAGCAAAGAAATTTTAATTTTTACCGGCTTGTGATATACTGCACACATCTCTGCTAATCAGAAAATCACTTAGATACATTCATTGTAGTACAGTTTTACAATTTCTAGGGTCAGAAGCGGTTATGTGAATTTAATCATTCCATTGAGCAGAGTGGAGGCAGAAAGGTGACATAGGAAGTCACAATACTGAACCAGAAAGCTCAATTGCTTTACCAGGAAAATAAGTATGCCATCTGCCTTGCCTTGTAGTGTGGCAAACTTAAGTAGCTCATAAGGCTGGCAAACAATTACAAATCCAATTACAGGTAAAGCAGTAAACCTATATGTTTTTCATCTGTACATTTAACCATTTGTCTGGAGTTCCCATTTAGTTAAAATTACCGACAATACATTATAGATTAAAAAAAAAAAACCACAGACAAAAGCTGCTTACCACAAAATGGAGCCAGACAACCAAAGCAGCCAATTCGGGTGCATCCCCAGTACATGTGACAGAAAGACTGCAAACACACAGTGCCTGTGAAAGCAAAACAGTGAGATGGAAAGTAGCAAGATAGTTGAAATCAGATTGCAAGTAAAAGGGCATAAAGAATAATGCAGTAAACAGTGTGTTTTGGTGAAAGAGCAATCCAAGGTACATTATGGCAACAATGACACCCAACATAAAGCAGCTGATATAGGACACTCCTTCCCAAATAAAACACATTAATATTTAAAAGTTACAGCTTACATTGCTGAGGTGGCACATGAGGGTTCTGTTCCCGCTCACTCCTGCGATCTGGCATTGGCTGGAAACAGCATGTACAGATCACATGACTTCCTTGGGAAGAGCATACATATTCCTGTGTCACTAAAGAAAAAAAAAAAGTGATAGTCAATGATTCCAGAACAGCTTTTACAAACTTAAAAACAATTGTGACATGGTTAAATATATATGGTGATATATAGGCCTTCCCTGCAATAAAAAAAAATGTAATTTTAGTATGATCCTCTAAACATCTAAAGATATTCAGTCCCTGCAGCTTTTTTCCTCAGAACACTGAGAATGCACCAGGTGATTATAATGAACTAGTCCCTCCCATTCAGAATCAGTATCCAAAGAACACTGAAAAACAGTAACATCTCTTTAGAGCAGAAAAGGCAGGTATCTACAACAAGGTTTGTGAAACGCCTTGCAATGTACATAGATCAACCAGAGGAGATTGTGTTTTTTCTCAGCAAAAACATAGATCACGGAAGGGTTAAAACCTATCTCAGTTATTTTATTGTCTTCCATGTCCCTATCGAGGAGATTTCCCATTACTTCCTGACAGGGCAGTATAGAAGAGGAAACCTCTCCAATGGAGCAATAAAGAAAAAAAAACAATTTTATTAGAGTGGGAAGGATTAGAACCTATATTGGAATCACAGAGTCTGGAACTATGAGAATTTTTTTTTTTTTTTTTTAAATAAAAAGAATCGTGTGGTTTCTGGCAGCTGCTACATCACTACGGTGTCCAGTAGTGATGTAGCTACTGACTGGAGGAAGCACAGCACACAGTGGGGGATAGGCATCGTAGGACAGCATGTCAAAAAAGAAAAAAAACACACAAAGACAATTTTCTGCCCACTGGACAGGTAGGTATTCAATTTCTTTTACAGACTGCTTCAGGCCTCATAGCGATCATGCATTTTACTTTTTATTTGTCATCGTAAAATTTAAAATAATTTACTGATAATACCACCAAAAAAAAAAAAAAAAAAAAATAGTTAATCCACCCCCCCCTCCAAAAAAACAATAAAAAGACATATGTATTGCAAATCTCAAGCTGCCAAATTAATAGGTTCTTAGCTAAAACATAAATGTTTATCCATCTCTAAAAGAGCAATGAGAAGTCAACTGGTAGGACACTAACCTGCAGGAAAAGTAGCAGAGGTAGATGGAGCATCCCCTGCAGACCGTGGAGCATCCCCTGCAGACCGTGATGCATCAGTCTCAAGAGGTGGAGGATAAGGTGGGGGCTGCACATTGTGTTTACCATATCCTGGACATTGGCGGCAGACAGTGTAGGGTTGGCTGTAGAGTAAAAAGTAAGCAAAGGCAAATAACTTGAAGTTTTTGAGCTCAGCTTCCATGCTCTTCTCCCTTTGTTGCTTTTCAACGGTTGTGTGGTAATACTCTCTGACACATTCAATACACGTTATTCCTTTCTATTCAGGAGGTTCGATTAAAGAAATGAATGCTCTGCCTAAATTGCTAAGGATAATACTAATTTTTAAACAGACCATTTGCTGAAAAAAAAAAAAAAAAAAAAACTGTAACAGTATGGTATTAGGTAAGCAGTTGTGTGTAATAATTTGACACATCACAATTATAGTAACCATTCAAGATCACTACAGAGACGCTCACTACAGTTTCAGTGGATAAACCCTTCATCAGTTTTGGGAAATCCAGCAATTCTTTCTTAAATATATTAGTAAACACTAGGTTGCGAAACAATATATGTACAAATGTCAACGTGCAACCCACACAGAAAAAAAACAAAAGCCAGCTAGCACATGCTGTTACCCACCCACAGCAGCAAGAAATAAAATATAAAAAATTTGCAGCACTAAAATCATGTTAAAAGTACAAAAATGGGATGAAACTAATATTCCATCTCTCAGTCCTATGAATCTATAAAATACACACACACTGCACCTAATAGAATAAATCAATTAATCAGTGCAAGTAAACTAATAAAAGGTGAAAATGAGAAAAAGTCATATATCTATATACAATTCATATAATAAATTCACGCATACCCAAAGTGTATGTGAATGCACTCATCTTACTATTGACTTCCAAACCATAAGAAGTCTAAATAGGCACAGGTAAGTAAAATGATGGTAACGATCGCTAACAGCTTCAGCAGAACATTCCAGTTAAAGCTTCACTTACTAAAAGGGACAGATCCTTATTCATAGCTCCCTCTGAACAATACAAACACATAAAGTGCTCTCCAATTTCACCAAATTTATTAAAAGAACAATCTAAATTCACAAAAACAAAAAATACCCAGAGTATCAAGTGTTACACTTGTGATGAGATCAGAAACAACAGAACTGCCACCAGCAATATCAATGACCTCACAGCAGTACTTACAAACTTAATAACAAGGCGATGACAGGCTCCGCCCTTATGAGTCACATCCCTGAGAGGGAAATTCTTCATAGGGTGCACTGGATGATTTTATGATGTAAGTGTAATAGGATTTTTTCTTCTTTTAATAAATTGGTTAAAATAGAGAGCACTATATTTGTTTTTTTTGTTCTGAGGGATCTATAAATAAGGATCTGTCCCTTTGGAGGTTAATGTTAAAATGGAATGTACTGCTGAAGCTGGAGGTGATCAATACCATCAGTCTACTTACCTGTGCCTGTTTAGTCCTCCTATAGTTTTGCAGGTCAATAGTAAGGTGAGCGGATTCACAAACTTTGGGTGTGGAAGTGAAATCAACATTTCATCAGAAGTGTTGTTGCACATAAGGAATGATTACGCATAAAACCTTTTTCACTTTATGAAGACACGTTAACTTTTTTTTCCACTTTTGCTGTGTTTTCATGAATTTATTGTATGAATTTGTCTAGATATATGAATTGTTCTCATTTTTGCCTTTATTCGTTTGTTTACACCGATTAATTGATTTATTATACTAGGTGTAATTTGTGTGTGTATATATACACTCACCAGCCACTTTATTAAAGCGGAGCTCCACCCAAAAGGGGAAGTTCCGCTATAATGCTTTGTCCCCCGCTCCCCATTAAGGATTGGCACCTTTGGGGAGTGAGTGGGAGCGGGTACCCGAATTTGACAGGTACCTGCTCTTACTTCCGCTGCGATCACCTAGGCGATTGGAAGCGGACGTTTTCCTCCCCTCATCCCTCCCCGTAGTCTTCTGGGACACGTGACAGGTCCCAGAAGACTATGGGGCCATTCACAAAGCGCAGCACTTCTTGCGCATGCGCAGTGGGCACCCGGCTCTGAAGTCAAAAGCTGTCACAGCCGGGTGCCCACACTAAAGATGACAGCACCAGGAAGAGAAGACGACCGGTGAAACCAGCGGTGGTGAGGATACCGCTGGACCGAGGGACAGGTAAGTGGCTGTATTTTAAAAGTCAGCAGCTACATTTTTGTAGCTGACTTTTATTTATTTATTTTTTTCCGCTGAAACTCTGCTTTAAGTACACCTGTTCAATTGCTTGGTAGCACAAATTGCTAATCGGCCAATCACATGGCAGCAGCTAAATGTATTTAGGCATATAGACGTGGTGAAGACTACTTGCTGAATTTACTACTTGCTGAATTTCAAACCGAGCATCAGAGTGGGGAAGGAAGGGGATTTAAGGGACTTTGAACATGGCATGGTTAATTGTGCCAGACGGGCTGGTCTGGGTATTTCAAAAACTGCTGATCTACTGGGACTTTCACACACAACCATCTCTAGGGCTTACAGAGGATGGTCCAAAAAAAAGAGAAAATATCCAGTGAGCGGCAGCTGTGTGGACATAAAATGCCTTGTTGATGTTAGAGGAGAATGGGCAGACTGGTTCGAGATGAAAGAAAGGCATTAGTAACACAAATAACCACTCGTTACAACCAGGATATGCAGAATATCATCTTGAACGCTCAAAATGTCGAACCTTGAAGCGGATGGACTACAGCAGCAGAAGACCACACCAGGTGCCACACCTGTCAGCTAAGAACAGGAAACGGAGGTTACAATACGCACAAGCTCACCAAAATTGGACAACAGAAGATTAAAAAAAACGTTGCCTGGTCTTATGAGTCTTGATGTCTCTAGAGATGGTTGTGCATGAAAATCCCAGTAGATCAGACGTTTTTGAAATACTCAGACCAGCCCGTCTGGCACCAACATATATGGCAAAAGTCAAAGTCTCTTAAATCCCCTTTCTTCCCCATTCAGATGCTCGGTTTGAACTTCAAGTAGTCTTCACCACGTCTGAATAAGTAAATGCATTGAGTTGCTGCCATGTGATTGGCTGATTAGCAATTTGTGTCACCAAGCACTTGAGCAGGTGTACCTAATAAAGTGGCCGATGAGAGAGAGAGAGAGAGAGAGAGAGAGAGAGAGAGAGAGAGAGAGAGAGAGAGAGAGTGTGTGTGTGTGTGTGTGTGTGTGTGTGTGTAAATATAATTATACAGGATTTTTAAAGCGCCAACAGTTTGCTCAGCGCTTTACATTATAAGTGTTATTTCCTTCAGTGTTGTCACATGAAAAGATAGAATAAAATATTTACAAGAATGTGAGGGGTGGACTCACTTCTGTGAAATAGTGTGTGTGCGTGCGTATTCATTGGGCTGAGAGATGGTAATTTAGTTTTCATCGCATATTTGCGATTTTAACATTTGAGCGCATTTTTTTACATTTTAAATAAGTCGTACTTTAAATTTATGGCTTATTTAATAAAATTCTTTGTTATAGTCAAATATATGAAAAACAGGAAGAGCCGGCAAGTCCAAAATCCTTACAAAAGCTTTTATTGGCGATACAGGAGTGACACTCCTGTATCACCAATAAAAGCTTTCTTAAGGATTTCGGAGTTGCCAGCTCTTCCTGTTTTTCGTATATTGTATCCAGTGCTCGGAGGACACTCTGGAGCCTGAGCACCCGCCTTGGATTCCACTATTAAATCAAAGTGTGTTTCCTGTTTGAGTGCTGCTTCTCTACTGCTTCATTTGTTATAGTCAAATATGTAGTCACTATAAGCAACAACATAAAATAAAATGCAGCAGGTCTAATTTCAGGGATATCGTCTGTCGCAAACCTGATGTCTGAGGATTCACTATCGACATCTGATAGCTCAAGTAGGTCTTCTGAACTTCCCTCTTCATCAGAGAATGATCGTCGTACTTTAGGCTGTAGCATGTCTTGAGTGATCTTATTGCGAGCATCCATGCTGCGCCTGTCTTCCTCACTGCGGCATTTTTCTGTATTTTGCAGAAATAAATAAATAAAAAATTACAACAGTGGCAAGCCCCATTCAAGATGCGTAATGAATTTGTTCCATTTATAGTCAACGGCACTGTCCTCATCTGTTCTATTTCTTTATGCAGTTCTATCCAGTACTATGGGCTAATGCAGGGGTCCTCAAACTTTTTAAACAGGGGGCCAGTTCACTGTCCCTCAGACCGTTGGAGGGCCGGACTATAGTTTAAAAAAAAAAAAAACTATGAACAAATGCGGACACAGTGCAGGAGGTGACCAGAGACTGCGGACATACAACAGCGGCGGGAATACTGGGCCAGCCGCTCCATAAGATGCACAGACATTTCCCCCCAAGTGTGTCTTATGGAGCGAAATAGTGTCCCATCATTGGTGTCAGTGGGAGGAATAGTGCCCCATCATTGGTGTCAGTGGGAAGAAATGTGCCCCATCATTGGTGTCAGTGGGAGTGGGAATCAAAGGAATGTGCCCCATCATTGGTGTCAGTGGGAGGAATAGTGCCCCATCATTTGTGTCAGTGGGAGGAATAGTGCCCCATCATTGTGGGGGTCAGTGGGTGTCAGTGGGGGAGGAATAGTGCCCCATCATTGGTGTCAGTGGGGGGAGGAATAGTGCCCCATCATTGGTGTCAGTGGGGGGAGGAATAGTGCCCCATCATTGGTGTCAGTGGGGGGAGGAATAGTGCCCCATCATTGGTGTCAGTGGGGGGAGGAATAGTGCCCCATCATTGGTGTCAGTGGGGGGAGGAATAGTGCCCCATCATTGGTGTCAGTGGGGGGAGGAATAGTGCCCCATCATTGGTGTCAGTGGGGGGGGAGGAATAGTGCCCCATCATTGGTGTCATGGGGGGAGGAATATGTCATCATTGTGTCAGTGGGGGGAGGAATAGTGCCCCATCATTGGTGTCAGTGGGGGGGGAGGAATAGTGCTCCATCGTTGGTGTCAGTGTGAGGGGGGGAGGAATAGTGCTCCATCGTTGGTGTCAGTGTGAGGGGGGGAGGAATAGTGCTCCATCGTTGGTGTCAGTGTGAGGGGGGGGGGGGAATAGTGCTCCATCGTTGGTGTCAGTGTGAGGGGGGGGGGGGAATAGTGCTCCGTCATTGGTGTCAGTGGGGGAAGGGGATAGTGTCCCAACATTGGTGTCAGTGGGAGAAATAGTGTCCCATCATTGGTATCAGTGGGGAAGAATAGTGCCCCATCATTGGTGTCATTGGGCGGAATAGTACGTCATTGGTGTCAGTGGGGGAGAATAGTGCCCCGTCATTGGTGTCAGTGGGGGGGATAGTGTCCCAACATTGGTGTCAGTGGGGGGGATAGTACCCCATCATTGGTGTCAGTGGGAGGAATAGTACATTATTGGTGTCAGTAGGGGGGAATAGTACCCCCTCACCGGTGTCAGTGGGGGGGGGGGGGGGAATAGTGTCCCAACATTGGTGTCAGTGGGAGGAATAGTACCCCATCATTGGTGTCAGTGGGGGAAGGAATAGTGTTCCATCGTTGGTGTCAGTGGGGGGGAGGAATAGTGCCCATCGTTGGTGTCAGTGGGGGGGAGGAATAGTGCCCCATCACTGGTGTCAGTGGGGGGAGGAATAGTGCCCCATCATTGGTGTCAGTGGGAGGAATAATGCCCCATCATTAGTATCAGTGACACAAATGATGGGGCACTATTCCTCCCACTGACACCAATGACACTTAACTTGCTGACCCCTGCTCCAGCATGGTGCTGCTGCAGCCATCATACCTGGTTGCAGCAGCACCATCAGCACGGCACACTTACCTGTCAGCTGTCCTTCTTCACTCCGGCCTCTCCCTCACTCGATGTTCGCGGGGGCCGCTCGGCTACGCCTCCTCGCAGGTGATTGGCCGCCTGTGTGCCTTTCCTGAGCTACAGTTCTGGCGCCCAATCACCGGTGAGGAGGCGAAGCCGAGTGGCAGGAGTGAGGGAGTGGCCGGAGTGAATGAAGGAGCAGCGCTTCCTGGACTGGATCGTCGTGGGACTGGGACCAGAGCCAGGTAAGGTACAGCAGCCCCCTGCCCACCCCTCTACTTAGTGTCCCTTCCTCGCGGAAAATACGCCCCTGCCGGCGGGCCGGATAAATGGCCTCGGCGGGCCGCATGTGGCCCGCGGGCCGTAGTTTGAGGACCCCTGGGGTGCAAACTCACATACATTTACACCTTTGCATGCATGCTGCAGCACATATGGTAATGTATGTGCACAGGTGTGATTGCACCCTTATGGTTCCCCTTTTACTATATGCCATGGCAATCAAAGGGTTAAAACAAGCTTACAGCAACCATTTAAAAAAACAAAATTGTTAATTTTGTAGATCCCTCCTACACAATGTGAGACACAGTATTTCATTGAAAGACACAGTCAAATGATCTTCTACTAATAGCTATAGCTGTCACCTCTAGATGGATGGACACTAGGCAAAGAGGTATATCCCCTGCAAGTGACCATTTCCCTACATGTACAAGCAGTAAGCAAAAATGGCAGTAATGAAAGAGAACCTTCCCGTCCCCCCTAATGAACTACAGGTTAAAAACGAATTTCCAGTGAGTACAATGAATCGTATTTGTTGGGGTACATAGCTAGTTATGTTTCTGCTAATGGGACATTCAAAAGCAGTCTCAAAAAAGAGGAAAGAGCAAAAAACCTAAGGCAGCCTCAAGGATAACTCAAGGATCACGAAGACTGTTTGGAGCACCCTGCATCAACAGCTGGCATCTGTCAATGTCTTAAGAGTCATATGGGAAAACAGAAACTGACCATGAACTGAAGGCCAGGACGTTGCCCTGAATACCTGAGAAATAGATGCCTTGTGCTAAAAAGCCCAAGATGAGTAACATTTTTTGCTTAAGTGCCATCCCTTTAAGGAAAAGTCTGTGTCAATCTGAAGAATCTTGAACTAGCGGAGCTGGGAAGAGACATCCTACTTCCTCAGGACACCAAGACAAACTTAGCGTGAATAGTATATGCAGGCATATAGATGGGGTGAGCCCTTTGCTTTGCTAGTTTCCAAGCTCCTATGGGCAGTAGCTATACCCATGAGCATAAGATAGACTGTGCCCCCAATAGATGCTAGCATAATAATAGTTTTTTGGTTTTAAAGTACTCAAAAGCGGAAGCTCTGCTCATTTGCCTCCTCCCCCCCCTTCTACTGCCAAATTTGCACCTTTTGGGGGGAGCGGGTACCTGGTTTTGACAGGTACCCGCTCCCACTTCACGGCAAAGTGACCCGGAAGTTCGGCCCCCTCCTTGCTCCCACAGTCTCCTGGGAACTTTCACAGGTCCCAGGAGACTGCCGAACCAAAACAGGAGGCATGGTGTGACTTGCACATACGCAGTGGGCACCAGGCTGGGAAGTTGCAAGCTGTCACAACCTGGTGCCACAGTAGAGATGCCGGCACTGTAGAGGGTCTGCGCGGGTGAGTACTTCGCTGGACCCCAGGACAGGTAAGTGTGTGTTTATTAAAAGTCAGCAGCTACCATTTTTGTAGCTACTGACTTTTAGTAAACACAAAAACAGCTGGAAACATAAGTCAGAAAATTAAGTCCTGCTAGATCACTTCAGGCTGGCCCTTTTTGCAGATATAGCTATGTAAAGAAATAAAAATAGGTGCTTATACGGTTTAAAATCCAGTAAAACACTGTCTCACCCTGCTCTGCACATGCTCAGTTGCTCTACATTTTTAGGCACTGTGCTGAATTTGTACAGACTGATCTGCTGAAGATTAAAGCGGAACTAAACTCATCGGTTTAACCACTTCAATACCGAGCACTTTTACCCCCTTCCTGCCCAGGCCAAAATTTCAGGTTTCAGCACTCTCACACTTTGAATGACAATTGCGCGGTCATACAACATTGTACCCAAACTAAAATTTTATCATTTTCTTCCCACAACTAGAGCTTTCTTTTGGTGGTATTTAATCACCACTGGGGTTTTATTTTTTGCTAAATTAACAAAAAAGTCCGAAAATTTAGAAAAAAAAACAAAACATGTTTCTTTGTTTCTGTTAAAAAAGTTTGCAAATAAATAATTGTTCTTCATAAATTTAGGCCAAGATGTATTTTGCTACATTTCTTTGGTGACAATAACCCAAATCAGTGTTTATTATTTAGTCTGTAGGAAAGTTATAAAGTTCACAAACTGTGGGATATATCTAAAAATTGATCAATCCTTAAGTACTGATAGCCGATCTAATTTTTTGAACTTGTAATTTTTTTTCTTCTTTTTTTAAAGATTTGTTTTCATATTACCATATTACACTATGACCAAAGTAACATAATGTTATCATAGTAACATTGTACTACTTTGGGGAAGTGATCAGTATTTTTTTTTTTTAACATAATTTGATTGCGTACAGCAAAGAATTTCTTTGCTATAAGCAAGCATTTAACTGAATTAAATCGATTAATTCAGCTTTTTTTGTTGTGATTAGCTCTGATTGGCCACAGCTAATAACATGACACAGCTGGGCTGTGACTGACCCAGCCTGTGCATGTGATCACTGTGACCATTCACAGCTAGACACACTTGTATACAATGGATGGCATGAAAGGAAGCCATCCATTGTATACAACTGTCATGTGACCTGCTGTGATTGATCACAGCAGGTCACATGGTAGTGGCAACGGGGCCGGTACACAGATCAGTCATCAGCCGTATCCAAGGTACGCAGCCGGTGACAGATCTCGTCACAGTGCGGCCCTGCGGGCATGCGCAAGGTTTATCCAGGAAGGAAGTCACATGACGCCCTCCCGGAGGGACAAGAGGTTCGCCAGGCCGTCATTTGACTATAGGCCGGGCGGGAAGTGGTTAACAGTTTCAAAAACACGTTAGATTTCCCAGCAATAATTGAACTTTTTCTTGTGTTCTCAACCAAACTGTCAAATCATGAAATGACTGGTGTTATAACTGATATGTGCAGCACCAGGGCAGTTGAAGATCAAACAGATGGCAGCTTCTTTGGTTAAAAAGAATTCAGTAACTGCTGATCAGGGCTCTAGACAAAATGGCAGCCTCCAGCATGAAGAAACAGGGACACTGCTGGAGGCAATTTACAGCACACACTAATTTTGGTGGCACAATTATTAATGTGGAATGTATGTTCCTTGCTAAAGAACATTATTTTTTAATCAAGGTATGAGTAAAGTTGGCTTTAATATGGGTTTTAACATGTGTAAAAAAAAAAAATGGAAACCTTTGAGTTTGTAAAACTCACCTGGATGCTGTAGTAGGTAGGCTTCCACTAGATTGTTAAGTATGTGGTTTTTACAGATACGTTCCACAGGACATCGGCAGGTAGGGCATAGGGAAGAGCGCTCCATCCATCCAGAATAGCAAGCAGCACAGAATGTGTGCATACAAGGCTGCAAACTGACAGAACAAAAAAACAATGCAGACACAAGTAAGGTCCATATAGGTTTTTCCTTATAGAGTGACAAACAGGCATTTTAAAGGCAAGCTGGTGTGTTTTAGTTTTTTTTTTTCAAAAGAAACATACTGGGGTTAATTAAAACTGGAGCTCTCAGAATCTGATGCAGCTCTGTATGGTAACCAATCAGCTTCTAACTTCAGCTTCTTCAATTAAGCTTTGGTAACAAAACCTAGAAGCCGACTGGTTTCTATGCAGATCAGAGCTGCACCAGATTTTACACTCTCCAGTTTTAGTAAATCAATCCCACTTTATCACATTTCTTATGATAAATGCAGCTGGAAAGCTAAATTTCTTCTGTGCTTTGCTAGACTGCGATACAGAATATGGGAAGGGCTGAGCAGGGCATTTTATTGTTCCTCTAAGCTCCTGCAGATAGAGCAATGTGCAATCAATCTGAAGGCTGGGTACAGACCTAGGCATAGCTATTCACTGAAATGACTATGATTGGTGCTAACACCTAAGCAACCACAATAGTATCAAGAGTGACTAAAGCTGCAATGATTTCACTGCTGAAGGAAAAGTGCCATCACCCTATCAAAAAAGTTCTACTACTGGAAGGATCAACAAGTATTTAGAAAATGATGCAAGATATTTAGAAAAATAGGGCTCAATTCAGATTTTTTTTATACCGTTGGTTCCTCCCTTAATTTTTTTTTGTTTTTAAAGGTCTAGACTGCCTTTGTTTACATTCTGTCAGCAGGGAATCACACTAGCTGTTAGGTTGCCAGCTCCTTAAAAGTAGTTGTAAAGCCTTACATTATACCCAGTGAAGTGACCAGCCTCAGGTGATACAGAGACCCTCCTACATAAGCTTTAACGGTTTATCTACAGCCATATTTCCCTTACTCCCATTCAAATTGCAGAATTTATACAGGATCTCTCAGCTCTGAAAAGCAGGGGGCACATAGCTGAAGTTACATCAGTGAGGAGAGCTCTGAAAGATGATTGGAGAGAAGGAACATACCCCCCTTCACACAGCATGCAGGAACAGAGCTCAGGCTGGGGGTCCCTCCCCTGTCACCATTTTTTTCTTGGTTTTAGGAAAACTTGTCAGAAGTGTCTCTTGCTTTTACCAGAGGAACAAGGCAGCGGACAGAAATGACACTTAGAGCTCTGGAATTAGACAAGTAGACACTATAGAGGGATATGCTTTGTTCATATTTCATGTCTGAGGTTTACATCCACTTTACCACTAACTATTCATTTCATAAATTCTTTAAATAGCACGTGGCTAGACCATGATTTAACAAATTTATTTTTTTTTGCGTGAATTGACTTTTAGATCACTTTATGGAGGTATTTACCGTGCATTTTCAATATTGCATGCAATATTTGAATCAAATAAGTCACACGATCCAAATTTTGCATGCGATATTGCTTTGTGAATTGAGCCCATAAACAGCCTGACCTTACTGTTCTGACTCAAGTCGTGGGGCATGGCTGCCCTGAAACATATACATAGACATAATTTTTATTTAAGAGTTGGCCCCCCTCTACAGCCGACATCCTGGGACTAATTTTAGTGCCTTTTTTCATGAATTCATCCAGTCCTCTTCAGCGTTTCACTCTCTTCCTGTTGCCAATACCTAGTGGGTTTTCCCTTGAAAAAGGTTTCTCTCCTGGTTTTATGTACTGATCAAGTTACTACTTTGTTTGAGCAATTTTAGCATTTTTGTTTATTAAAAGAGGTTTTACCCAAACTACTTTATTCCACTCTGTTCTAATTTTCCCTTAATGTTCAGTTATCTAGCCTTTGCTTATCTCTGCAAGCTCTGTGTATATCCAGTCTTGTCTAGGTATCAGTGAATCATGATATATTTGAAGATTTTTTTTCTGTTTGGTCAACTAAATAAGATGCATCAATGAAATAGGAAACACTCACTCAACTCCACAGCTTTCAACCTTGGAAATTGCTTCCTGTATCTTGTTGATTGAAAATACCTGTCCCTCTCTCCCTCTGTGCAGCAATTAGCAAAAAGCCAAAAGGCACAGTACGGACTTAAAATGGTTTTTGTCTATTAAAATACACACTATACATACATTTCCTTATCTGGAGTTACCTGACGCAGTCATGAAGCAGCTCTTGGCAAATTATGCAGGTCAGTGTCTCTTCCATCTTGTCTGGTTTCACGCTAGATGGTTTAGCATCCTCTGATGTGCCCTTTATATTACTGGATAGTGGAGGGGCATGACTACTTGTACATTCCACTTCTTAAATAGATCAAAAAATATATAATTATTCAATGTCCACAAAGTGCTTTTTTAATGTTATATTTCGAGAATGTCAGACAAATGTGTGTAACACAAAGTGCAAATTTCAGTTTTGAAGAGGGAAAAAAAGGTAGTTTTGTTCAGGCACTTTTGTAAACCTTATGGCTGATTTTATCCTGCTTCTTGTGTGTAAATACTGCATTTGCTTGCTCACATCTTTCACAATGAGTATTACCTGGGAGCATCTCCCTTTATTATAATTATATGGTCAGTCTCAGATGTGAACTTAAAACTGCACCACTGCCATTTCCATAGACATGAAGATGGAACTCCCAGCACAGTGAATCTAAAGACATTGCACTTCTGACAACTCACTGGCCATAACTGGACATTAAGCTATGTAAAGATTTCTAGAAACGGCAGTAAAAGGATTATAGAAAGCATAGCGAAGAAGATTTTGGAAAGCAAATGGAACACTAACTTTAAACATTAAAGTGACACCAAAGGCTCAGTTTTTTCTTTGTAAACAACAAACATGTTATACCTACCTGGTTTTGGTTTTGCAATGGTTTTACACAGGGCAGCCCCAATCCACCCCGCCGGAGCTCCTGGCCTCCCCCCTGCTAAGTGCTGCCCCTAGAGCAAGCTACTTGCTCTGGGGGCATTTGTGCATGCTCGCTCCTTAAGACACAAAGAGCACGGCTCCGCCCCATCCCTCCTCACTGGCTATGATTAGCAGCAGTGGAGCTAATGACTTCCACTGCTGTGTCTCAGCCAATGAGGAGGGAGGAACCCTGAGAGCTGCTGCTCTCATGCACAACGCTGGATCGGGCTCAGGTATGCATTAGGAGGGGCTGAGGGGAGAGCTGCACACTTAAGGTTTTTCACCTTCATGCATTCAATGCATGAAGGGAAAAAACCTTCAACCTTTAGAACCACTTTAACAGAACTGAATTTCTCATTTCAGAGCAAATATGTCAAGAAGTAGTTCAATCATTTAGCAGCACATCTTCAGCACAAATATATCCAAAATTGATGTCAGTTTGAGCAGGATATATTAAAAAAAAACAAAACACAGTTGAATAAAAAAAAAATCAACACTGCATGCTAGCAATCATAAGCATCCTAAAAGTATCATAAGATGTTCTGAGTAAACGTTTTTGAGCACTCATTTTGCAGCAACTGCCATTACATAGTAGCAACTGACCCTTGGTCCCTATGAGAAGTGCTGGCAGCAGACTGCACACCCCTGCGGATAACTCTTTCCTACCATAATGGCTGGATTTTTGAAAATGTGGATACTGGGGTAGCTCAGGGGCTAGTTAACGGAGGATAATTTATGAAAGGATTAGAGGCTTTTTACTCACTGAATGTATATTGGTAAATAACATTAGCTGTGTTGTTCCTTGAATCATACAATAGTGTGCTAACAAAAATGGTATTTTTTTTACTTCCCTTGCAAATACCCGAGTATTCAATGTGTGTACAGATTTACCTTATTTAATAGCAAAGATCACCTTTGTGTATAAAATGCATGTGTTTTTGCAAGTAATAAACATGCGCATTTATACATTTTTTTCTTGGGAGCCTGCAGAACATTGTACCTGTGATCGGTGGATCACAGGTGCAATGTCAGGCTCCTGCAGACACTTCATGCACTGGCAGACAGTTGCTGAGTTGCAGGAAGTGTCAATGGACAATGAGGGCACTCATCTGCACATTCTTAGTCCAAAAAAAACTACAGAGTCCATCTGCCTCAATGGAAGATGGGACTTGTAGTTTATGGATTCAGAGATCACTGAGAATGAGTGACAAGGCTGTTCGAGTGGAGCAATCTGAATAGTCTATGCCCCTTTAGTAAATCAATTCAAGTGTGCCTATACTAGCAGGAGACAGCAGTAGATCATGCTGCAAAAAGACTAAATATAAAGACAAAACTCCCGAGGCAAAGCGATTTGCTTTCTTCATGGTACTAAAAACAAAAGTCATTTATGGGATAGATCATCTGGATGAACAGCTTCTACTCTTCCACAGCTTACAAAAGACCAACTTACCCAACTATTCAGAGCCAGTTTGCATGCACTGTTATAGATACCAAGTAAATCGGTAGTTTCATAATGCACATTTTTTCTCTGCATCTTTAACCACTTGCCCTCCAGAGGATTTACCCCCCTTCCAGACCAGGCCATTTTTTGTAATGCAGCACTACGTTACTTTAACTGACAATTGCACGGTCATGCAAATGTTGTACATAAATTAAATGTATGTCTTTTTTGTCCCACAAATAGAGCTTTCTTTCAGTGGTATTTGATCACCTGTCCGGTTTTTATTTTTTGCACTATAAACAAAAAAAGACTGACAATTTTGAAAAAAAAAAAGACAATATTTTCAACATTTTGCTATTAAACATGTCCAATAAAAAAAATTTAAAAATAAATTTAAGCCAAAATATAGTCTGCGACATGTCTTTGCTAAAACAAATCCCAATACATGTAAATTGATTGGTTTACGTGATTAAAGTTATAGCGTCTACAAATAGCAGTATAGATATTGGAATTTTTTTTTTTTCCTTTTACTAGTAATGGCGGTGATTGGCGACCTATTGCGGGACTGTGGCGGGCATTCTGACACTGGGGGGGAAATTGGCTAACTGACACTGATATCCCCAGTGACACCATTACAGTTATCAATAATAAAAAGCACTGACACTGTACTAATGGCACTGGGCAGGAAGGGGTTAACATCTGGGGAAATCAAAGGGTTAACTGTGTACTGTGTGTGTTTTACATACTGTGTTGTGTGTGTTTTTACTGTGTACACAAGTTGCCTTGTATTGCTCTGCTGTGCAGAGTAATACAAAGCAGCCTGTTTGTGCTGACAGAGGAGAAATCTGTATTGTTTACATACAGACCTCTCCCCTGTCAACTCCCCCGACAATCATCGAATCCTGGCCAAGAATTGGCAGTGATTGACATGCCAAGGAGCCAATTGTGGTACTGGTAGGGAGCGTGTGCGTGCCCCCTACCTGGAAATACAAAATCACACACATATATACACACACACCCTGCCGCCCTGTAGCCGTACTTCTGCTATAGGGCAGTCGGGAAGCGATTAATATTTTCCATATATGGTTTCTGATGGAAACAGCAATACAATGAACACTAACCAGATTTCAGCTTCTTTTTAGGAGGAGGCTGACAATCTTGCTCTGTATCACTTGTGAGAGAAGTGACCTTGGCTGTGTCCATGCTCGGTCCATCAAGTCCTGTACCGGGATGCTTCTCAGGCTGATTCTTCACTGCAGTCACAGCAGAGACATTGACAGAGACATGAACTATAGAGGTATAGCCATCTGTTACCATATGCAAATATACCATATAATTAATAGAAGAGACACTATTCTATAAACACATAAATGCATAGGCTAACAGAGAATAATTGCAAGGTAAAAAACTGTCCATCATGCACATATAAATGTACCAGATCTTTCATGGAAAAGTCAGAAAGCAAATTTCCAGAAACAAACTGATTCACTAATTTCAAAAGTTGGCCAGTGCACATTTATAGGGAACAGATTGCTGGTTCAGAGATCAGTGAATTTATCTGTCTGGATCTCAACCGATGAGTTGTGATCACTTTCTGCAAACTCTATATCTTTACCCATGGCCAAAGTAGCAATTTTTATGCAATTACAGACATGCTAAATGGCACTGTACAATTTCAAAATGTTTTCTTCTTTTCATAAATTCTTTGTCTCCTGTAAGGTTACAGTACAAACAGTGCAGCTCAACTGTAAATGTATGTATCTGACATATAGAGGACTGCATATACAGTTACAGGATGTACAGTTGTGACAACAGTTCACATAAGAAACTGTAACAAAGGGTATTTCAATGTTGTATAGAAGCACCTGTTAAAGGTATTGTGTGTTTTAGAGCATAAACAAGAGGGAAAGTGACTGTAGCTGGAGTTGATAAATGAATGTCCTAGGGAAAACTTCCTGGGTTAGGGTCAAAGTGTTATTGGGGTACAACAGGACAGTGAAAGGGGGGAGTGGGTCATATGGACCCCTCCCGGCAGACTGTCCTTGAGTAACAAAAGAAGACAGAGAAAAAGGGAAAGAAAAAAAATTGTATCTGTGTTTGATCTAAATTACTGTACAGCATTAACCTGCACAAGCATTAGACTGGGAAATCCAGGAATTGTGGCATATGTAGTTTCAACACGGGAAAGGTCAGTTCTCTCAAAACAGAGGTCATGCATAAACCTGTGCAGTGCCATGTTGAATATCACGTTTTCCACAACCAGAAAACTGCTGACACATGAATGTAAAGATTTACTCTACTATAGGTTGTGTGTACAGGGCACCAATTTAAACCATGGCACTACACAGTCAATGCACATCTTATATTAGGTGAAAAACACAAGATGCAGGTTTGAATGTTTACAATGCCTTTAAAATATAAAATATACATGTATATGACCAGGCAATAAATATATGGAAATATATCAGCTTTTTTTTTTTATACCTACAGAGACCTGCTCAACACCCAAATAGGCAAAGGAGTTACCGTTATAAACCCAATAATAGGGCTGCAACTAACTATTATTTTTTCATAATCGATTAGTTGGCAGATTATGGTTTCAATTAATTGCATAAAAACCTCAAAGTTTAATTTATTCAATATGTAAAGTTTAAAAAAAAAAAAAAAAAAAAAAAAACAATTTATTCTTAAATATCCCTATGCAGTGGTAAATACAATTAACCAGCTATATGGGTAAGGAACCAAATATCTAATCCACGCTTAGAATAACAGACAGAAGAGATACCTATTAGAGAGTGAATCTGGTACATATATCATCAGACTCAGAGATCAAAATTTTTATATAAAGAAAAAAAAAAATTCAAAAGACCTAAAACACTGTTTTGCAAATTTTCAGACAGGACTGTAATATAATATTATGCATGACAGAGTCCCTTGTCATAGGCGGGTAGCTTGATACAAGCCACCTGTACCTGCTGTCACTTACGCTGACCATACACGAACAAATGTTTCCTTCGAAAAGCTTTGTTTTAAGAACGTCCATTCGATTTTTGAATTGTTAATGGGGTCAATTCGACATTCATTTTCGACCACAGTAATGGGAAAATTCGAAAGAGCAACAACTTTTCTCAATCTAATAAATTTTCGGACAGTGTATCTGGGTTTTTGTTCAGAAATGACATTCATTTTAAAGTTGAATGTTAAAAGCAAGAGAAATTTTGGCATGCCATTTGTCCTTTCAACGAATGTACAAGGAATTTTTATACAAATATTCTTGTCCGAAAATCAATACGTGTATGGCCAACATAAGACATTTAGTAGTAGCAGCATGCTTTTTTTTTTTTAGCACCTCTCATGATGGGGTCAAAAAAAACAAAAAATCCAAATTAGCCCTTTTACAGTTAAAAAAAAAAAAAAAAAAAAAAACCCCAAAACTAACATAATAGGTTAATTTATACTGTGAAACTAATACTATATAATAAATATATATATACATATATATATATACATATATATATACATATATATATATATATATATACATATATATATACATACACATATATACATACATATATACATACATACATATATATACATACATATATATACATACATACATATATATATATATATATATATATATACATACATACACACACATACATATACATACACACACACACATATACACACACACATACATATACTCCAGTCTATCAGCTTCCAGCTTCTCTGAGTTCAGATGCTGATCTTCCCTGCACAGAGCCCTTAAAGTGATTGTAAACCTTGGATTTTTTTAACTACAAACTTGTCATACTTACCTGCTCTGCTCTTCTGGGATTCCCCACTGGCTATTCTGGCTCCTCCTGCCTTCAGAGTGCCCCTATAGCAAGCCACAAAGTATAGTATAGAGTGCCCCTATAGCAAGATAATACAACTTCTCCCTTTAGAATCACTCACTTCCTTCTCCTGCCCAGAACTACATGTCCCATGAGGCATTGCTCCTGCCACATTCACATGTTCTCAGGCACTTACTGATATTTAGGACGGAGTACTGAGCTGTATGTGCGCTACACTCTGTATACTGACATGTATGGATGATGTACTGAGCTGTATGTGTGTATTTTCTAATATGTACACAAATAATGCATTCTGTATGCAGACCAAATAACCAACTGCTCGATCATGAAAAAATAATTGACAACTATTTTCATAATCAATTATAATCGATTATGTCGATTAGGTGTTTCAGCTCTAATAAGACAAATTTTGGCATCCCCAGCATTCGTCAATTTTGCAATCCTCTGTTTCTGCAGTATAGCCAGTGTCAGGACAAGGTCATCCAGTGCCCAAGGAGTCTAGCTTGAAATGAGATATCTCAGGAAAGTAGCGCGGCACAGTGAAGAGTGGGTGTGCTTAAAATTATGATGGCTGGGAGGGGGCAAACTGGCACCCCCTGGGTGCCTCGACTGCTGCATCCTTTAGCTGCAGAGAGAGCGCCTGGGAATGTATACATGCTGCAGCTGTGATGTTTTGCTTCAAACCTGTTGTCAAACATAGCCCATTCAAGTAAATGGTGCTGCTCTTCATCTTCGCCACAACTTTCTGCAATGCACATGTTGCGGCATGCTAGTGCAAGGTTAAAAAGGTGATAAAGTAGGTGGGTGAGGAGGCAATACAATGCCACCTTACAGCCAGTCAAATGCTCCCTAAAGAGCAATCTGAATGCTGATCACTCTTCAGAGAAAAAACACATGAACAAGCCCTATATATTTTTTTTAATATAGTTTTTGAAATGCAATTATTATTATTTTACATTTTTAACAGACCTGTAGGGGCTTTGTTGAAATATCAGGGCTGTAAACAGACCCCTGATGTCTCACTTTTGAGACAGAGACACCATGTTTTTTGGTGCATGTGAAAAGGCATGGGTTAGCAGATGCAGGGGGGGTGCCATTAACAGTTAATAGCACTGCTGCACATCTACTAATGGACAGTGCGTTTCCATGGTACCACCAGGAAAGTGACACTTAATTGCACATTTCTGACATGCAAAGGTGTGAACCTAGGTTTATAGTGGGCTCACACTGGTGAGCTTCAGTTTGGTCGCACTGTAATTGTACGAGCAGTTTCAGGAGTGCTTCCATTGAATTCTATTACACAGTGCGCTTTGTGAAAGCGCATCAAAGATACAGCATGTAGGACTTTGATGCGCTTTCATGAAAACACACTGTGCAATAGAATTCATTGGAGTGCTCCTAAAACTGCAGGTGTACCGCACATATAATCACACTGTGGCCACACCGCAGTGCATGGTTATTATTAGTGATGAAAAAGGGTGAAGAGGTGAAGTTCTGGGTAGTAATGAGTATATTTTAATGAAGTGCAGAGTGAAGGCATACAGAGAAAGTGCTAGGGCTGCATTATTCCGAGATTGTAAGCTCTAACGAGCAGGGCCCTCTATTTCCTCTTGTGTACCAAATTGTATTGTAACTGTAATGTCTACCTTCATTTTGTAAAGTGCTGCGCAAAGTGTTGGTGCTATATAAATCCTGTATAATAATAATAATTATTATGGGGACAGGATAGTTAGTAGACTGGGATGGAAAGGGTGTCAGCCAGACGGCTGTGTGGAATGCCCAGAGCTGAGACAACAGTCTGCAGGATGTGTTCAGTGCAGATTTATGGACTGGGCAGCAGATAAAAGAAGAGTTAATGTGAACAGGAGAGAGGAGCAGAAGAATCGGTGCTGACTTCTATTGTGCAGGGAAGGTAAAGAGATCTGTAGACAACTGAAAGTGTCCATCAAGGCAGACTGTGAACCGACTTGGAAGAAACAAGCTGAGGGCGAGAGTGGCGCACAGAAGGAGAGGAGTGACGTATGGCTGCAGCAGAGGTAAGGCAGAGTTGAAGTGGTCAGAACAGTAGAGTAGGGGAATTGTATTGTGCAGTAATATGAGGGAGAATGACAGTTTTTCCTGTCAGGCAGGACCAGCAGCAGAAGCTCCCAGTGCGCCCCTTCGACACAGATTATGACAGCGCCCAGTGCAGGTGCCCCTCCGCCCCTGCCTTGTCCCAGCCCTCAGTATAGCTGTTTCTTTCACAGGCACAGCACCATCTAGAAGTATGCAGGGTACAAGCACAGCACATTTACAACATTGGATAGAAGGCCATGTTTCAGTTTTTTGGGTTTTTTTGTTGCTCTGGTCAGATCCGCCCCGCTATGACAAGCAGAGGAGTAGCTGAATTTTTGAACTCTGTCTTAAGATACTTTAGGATCCATGGAAATCCCAAATTTTCTAAAACATTTTTTCTCTAAAATTCCACCTGTATAGTTCGGTGTTTATTTTGAAGGCCAGTTCAGATGCAAATACTGCTTCCTGCAATTGCTATTTATATCCGTAAGGGTCAACATTCACAATACAGGGGTCTTATGTGCAGCTTCTGGACTTGCCATGGACAACGGACTCAAGATTTGGACTGTTTCAGTCTTCTTAAATATCCTTCAGTGAATGTAATGTGACAGAAGGCTGTCAGACTGCAGACATGCACAGGAGATCGTCACAAAACTGTAGGCAAGCTGTGGGAGTTTTTGGAGACATGCTTCAGAAGACAGTTATAGACTGCTGACACATTTCAGAAGGCAGTCACAGGCATGCACAAAATTTCTAGAGATCACTGCTATCACCATCCCTTTACAAATCAAAATTTCCATGTTTTTGTTCACTCTTTAAGCTCCCATAAAAATAGCTTAGGCCATATTTCTCTCACCAAGATCTGATGATCTGAGCAAATAAATAAATGAAAAATAATGAAAAGTCAGTCTAAAATAATTTCCTTTGCTGGTCTGAGTAAGCACCTTGGAAAAGAAAAACAGACCACTATCTACAGGCACCCTGAGGGGTCACGCAGTAAGTGCCCAAGGGCCAAATTAAGTCTCCAGCCTGCAGACTGGGTAGCAGGGTTTTAGATCATCCTTGGTACTGAAATGTCATAGCAGTAAAAATACAAAAATACAAAAACACCAGTTACAGTATATTTGTTTCAGACTGCATTGCTCTCACCATCAATGGATGACTGAAGTTTCAAGGAAGAATCTGGCTCTTTAGCAGAGGTAGTACGTGTGTTAAAGAGGCTGAATGTGGAAGTGGAAGGCTGAGGTTCCTCACAGGTAAAGGAAGAATCTTGAAGTGGGGACAAAACCTGTGTCTCCTCTGCAATCCCTGAGGTATCTGTAGATGGATAGGAGTGCAGAAAACCAACACATTAATTTAAAATGTATGGCCTATACTTTAAAACATAGGTCAACTAGCAAATGCAAGAGCTAAGGGCTGCTGCAACAACTGGTCAGTGTATGACCACTATTATTGTTACCTGCTCCTTGTTAGACAGAAATAATGCAGACATAATAAAACAGGATTTTTGAACTTACTGTAAAATCTATTGCATGCAGTCCTTTGATAGACAGAGGAATTAGGATAAAGCCAGGATATACAACTGCTGGTTTGGCCACTGCAAACAGAAATATCATATGCTGGCCTCCAGTATAGCTCCCTCCTATTCCCAAAATGCCTCAGTTTTGCAGAAAAGTACTACTAAGGCCACAAACAAAAAAACCCAGAGGGGCAGACCTGTATCCTTCAATTTATGCTGATTAAAAAGGCTTGGGATAACCCTTAGGAAGAAAAGGTCCCAAAGGGAAATAAGTACCAAACACAGGTCCAGGCAAGAAAAACAGATGGTCTACATTTTTAGGGCCTAATGACATCCTTAACCCTTAGGGTCAAGGGGGGAAACCCAGCAAGTAAAAGGAGGCTGTCTAGCCAGACAAGCAACCTCGTTAAGCAAGGTACACCAGAGAAAGTACACTAATAGTAGAATCCAATAGCTCAATGAGAGCATGAAATGAGGCTGACCATAAATCAACGGACAGGGGGAATCAGGTGCACAGAAGATATTGCTGAAAGGATAGGCAGGAATGAAGATTTAGAGTCAGCCTCTGACAGGTGAGATGGGACCCACCTAAAAACGCTGAAGGCAGAAGCTTAACACCATTTCTGACATCCCTAGGTGACACTGGGGCCTGCAGAAGAATTGACCATAGCAATTAATCTATGGAGTGCCTGATCCCCCTGGGTCAAACAAACCTTGGAGTCTTGGAGAAAGGGACAGAAATCCTAGCCAAAGAACTAAGAGCACGTGACTAAAGATGGCCATAGACTGGTACAGATTCTCCATCCACACAATTGAGATGGATGAGAGGCATCCCCACCCACTGAGACATTGTATTTGGACAGTGGGCTCTGCTGATGTCAGAATACATATTTGGTCACCAGCTGCAGCCACTGATCGACAAAAGCAAATCAAACAATCGGCTTCTGTCCAGTGGGGATGGCCACACAGATTGAAATTAACGTGGTCTCTACTAAACCAGCCAAATTCAGTCTATCGCCAGCTTTAGAGCAGGTCAAGGGAAAGTATCTGGGGGACATTTCCAAGAAGACTGCTGATATCCGCCAAAGAGGGAAGACTAGTTCCCTGATAAAGAGGTCTCAAAGAGCAATCTGCGCATCCTCTGTCCCCAGCAGAGAGTACCTGCAGCATGAGGCTAGGGTGATCTGCCTGCTGACAATCCAGGGAGACACAGGGCTCTTAATATTACTCTCGCCCGCTGTGCAGGATCTGTAGCACACCCAAATACACAAACCTCTCCTCGCATTGCTGACACTACCAGTTCAGGAGAGCTAGTTTTCAAGGCAATGTAAACCAACCAACTCTAGAACTTAGCGAGGCCTGATTCAGTCAGATCTTACAAGAAGTAATTTTGGGAAGGTGCAAACTACAAGGATCCATAAAGCTGACTGTCTTAATAGAAGGTTGCCTGAGCATTCCACAATGGGGATGCCAGGAGAAGGTACTAGACAGAATAGAGTAGGAAATGCTATAAGAATCAGCACTGAGGATCCAGGTCCTTGACCATATAAGGAACAGTTAGAGGTGGTCTCAGTTGAGCATGTGGGTAAAGGGGCCCTTCTTGAAGAAGAGACCCTGGAGAGGTACCATGTACCATGAGGGCCCATTCCATATCCCAGGGGCATGGGCATATAGACATGGATAAGGCACAGCTCCAGAAGTTACCATAAGGAGTGGGACAAAAGGTGTAAAAAGAACTTAGACTGGGGAAAGTGCAAGATCCTGTGCAGTATCACGGGAAGATAAGGATCAAAAGAGGTGGGCATCAGGAGCAAAGGATTAGCCTGTGGGCTAAAAGGGGGACTCACTGCGCCTAAATGCTGGAGAGGGAAACTACCCAAGTACCCCACCAGGATGCACAATCAGCCACCTACTTGTAGAACTGGGGGAGTACCTTTATGCAGAAGACATTTCTGAGGGATTACTGACCTGTGCCAAACTCTCCCTGGACGTCTACATAAGGGCAAAAACAGTTTTTGGCCTCTCTGGTGAAATACCTGATCATGGTGTTTAATGCAATGCAAGGCCAACCGGGTCAGATGTTCTTTGGATATGCCAACAGTATCCCAGCAGCAGAACCAGAGTGCCCAAACGCATCTGTATGGACATCAGCCCCATGCAGAATATTTTATTTTTTCATACAGGTATTTATAAAGTTATGACAATTTACACATTGTACATTTATATCAGTCTCTGCTCTCAGGTTGAACACATGCATGTAGCCACATTCTAAAAGGTTACATTCATATAGACCCACACTAGAGCCCATTTGGACAGGAACCAAAGAACCCATCAGCATGTATTCGGAGTGTGAAAGGAAACTGGAGTACCCAGAGGAAACCTATTCAAGCATGGAAGAACATGCAGACTTGTAATGTCCCTAGTTGGGATTTGACCCTAGTGCTGCAAGGCAGAAATGCTAACCACTAAGCCACTGTGCTGCCCCAGATATAAGGTTCTGCACATCTGCTCCATCCGCTAACAGAACTGAGGGTGCACCCCAGCTGAGGCAAAATCACTTTGGAGCATACTAACCCAGTCTGAAAAGGTCTGACATATTAGGGTCACTACAAACACAGACTTAGATTTGAGAAGCTAAATGTCACTAAAATCTTTACAAGGTAAGCAAACCTTACACCCAACTAGTGGTAATTGAAGGTAAGGTGGTACACTAGTTGAACCACAGTGGGAAGAGTCCACTAGTTGACAAATTCCCTCCTAGAAGGGAACATTCCATACACTCAGATGAAATCTATGACCTCTTAGGGTGTCTCCAAGTTCACATAGAGGAATACCTTGAATAATAGGTGTAGGAGCATTAAAAGACTCAAAGTTGGAGACAATGGGCTGATTCTTTAAAAGCACAGGTCACACATGCAAATGAACTCACTCTATCAATAGAGTTCCAAATGACCCCCAGTAATTCTGAGGTAACAGCAGTAGATTGCAGTGCCTCAAAAACAGTCTATTCAGAAATAGACTGCCAGGACTCGGAGTCAGAAATGGCCACAGGAACCATTAGTGCGTTTAGAGATAGACTCTGCAGGGTGTGGTGCTGGAGCATTTCTCAAGCCTCTGTGGTCACTATGTAAAGGTGAGAAAAGTTGAGTGCATGTAGTCTAAAAAGTCCTGAGTAAATGATGATATCCCTGAAAACAAGAAGGGACTCAGCCCTGCACAATGGAGCCAAGGAAGACTGAATAAGAAGACCCTTTGACTATAGGGGTATCAGGTTCCAGATTACAAGTGCCGCTTCTCTCAATAACAAGTAGAACCACTAGGAAAGTTGGGGCTGGGGTCACCCACAGCAGCAGGACTATCCACTCTGTGTTTATGTACAGACATTTTGTGCCCACGTAGCAGTAATGCAACTAGGCACGATGTGTGATAAAGGCCACAGGTACTCACAAACCCAGGAAGCTGGTGTTGGTGAGGGTCAGGTGGGCAGAGGAGACTGTAGACAAGCAATCGGAGAAAGGCCAAGATCAGAGTTACACAAGGTGCTTGAGTGCAAAGTGCGCTTGACACTTTGGGGGATAAAGTTGATGCTCCGTCCCTAAGCATTAACAACAACTGGGGTGATGGTAATCTTAAAAGGCACTCAACAGTGCCAACAGTGAGGTAGTAGCTCCCTGTGTTTCAGCCTGATCGGCTCTACTCACAGAGTCAGTCTTTAGAATCACGCCGTGGACTCTGCCAAGGCTCTGGACCTGGAAAGTAGTTTGTTGCTAAAATTTACCAGTACAGATCAAGAAAGCACCACAATATAGAACCCAGTGTTTGAAGGTCAGACATCCAGTCCAGCGGGGTCCTGGTACAGCCTACAAAGCTAGTGCACAAATTGGTTAGATATTTGTAAGCAGAGCAAAGGGAAAGGTGTCTATTCTCCTAGAACACTAGCAAAAAATTGAGGTATGCTGGGTAGAGGATGGGTTATACTGGGGGATGGCTTAAAAGTATTCTGTTTGCCAGCGTCCAATCATCTTGTAGGTGACAGTACAACCCAACTGTATCTGAATTTGTGTGTCCCTGAATAAATCAAAAAGAAAAGCATTTTACCAGTCAGACATTAGCTAACACAATGGACATTTAATCTCCATGTTGTTCAGGCCCACATCTGTTATAATATAGAAGGATACTGCGGCTTCTCTACACCCCAGGATTTGTGGGGAAAAACAGCTATAATAAGAGACATTTCACTGATAGGAAAACTGGTATTGCAGCACAGCAAAGCACAGAACAAAGAATTGTAGCATTGATATATCAAAAAGCTGAACTATCCATATCCAGTGTGTATCCTCTGGAAGATTTACCCCCCGCTTCCTGACCAGGCAATTTTTTGTGATATGGCGCTGCGTTACTTTAACTGACAATTGCGTGATAATGCAATGCTGTACATTAATTAAATTTAAGGTCTTTTTTTCCCCCACAAATAGAGCTTTCAGCATTTGATCACCTCTGTGTTTATTTTTTGCGCTATAAACAAAAAAACGACAGACAATCTGGAAAAAAAAATATTTTTTTTTACTTTTTGCTATAAAACATATCCAATTAAAAAATAAAACAAATAATGTATTCCGCTATATGTCTTTGCTAAAAAAAAACAATAAGTGCATATCAATTGCTTTACATGAAGGTTATAGTGTCTACAAATGGCAGTATATATGCTGGAATTTTACTTTTATACTAGTAATGGCAGCGATCAGCGACTTATAGCGGGACTGCGGCAGGCATTCTGACACTAGGTGGGAACTGACTAACTGACATGACCAGTGACACGAATACAGTGATTAGTGCTAATGAAAAGCACAGACACTGTACTAATGACACTGGGCAGAAAGGGGTTAACATCTGGGGCGATCAGAGGGTTAACTGTGCGTTAGGGAGAGATTTAGACCAGCAATGGGCAAACTACGGCCCGCGGGCGTATACGGCCCGGCGGACCTTTTAATCCGGCCCGCGGAGCTAGGCTCCCGCAAGGCCAGTGGTCGGCAAGCCGCGGCTCTTTACAATAGATGCGGCTTCCTGTGTGCCGGGCGCCCGCTCCCCTCCCTCCTCTCGGGCGGGCGGGCGGGCGACCTCCTCTCCTCCTCTCCCCTCCCCTCCTCTCGGATGGCCGCCCCCCCTCTAGGATGGCCGCCCCCTCCCTCCTCTCGGGCGTCAGGACTCTGCAGCTGTCAGGATGTAGGCGGGGCAGCCAGGATGTAGGCGGGGCAGCGTGACGAACTCTTCTCTCACAGTCCTCCCTGAAGACCAGAACGGCGCGGGAATACGAGAGGAACGCGCGGAGGAGCAAAGGTAAGTGAATTGACACAGGGGGGACTTACTATATGGGGGACTTACTATATGGGGAATGAATTACTATATGGGGGACTTAAATGAATTACTATATGGAGGACTTACTATATGGGGAATGAATTACTATAACTTACTATATGGGGGATGAATTACTATATGGGGGTCTTACTATATGGGGAATGAATTACTATATGGGGGACTTACTATATGGGGAATGAATTACATATGGAGGACTTACTATATGGGGAATGAATTACTATATGGGGGACTTACTATATGGGGAATGAATTACTATATGGGGGACTTACTATATGGGGAATGAATTACTATATGGGGGACTTACTATATGGGGAATGAATATGGGGGACTTACTTTATGGGGAATGAATTACTATATGGGGGACTTACTTTATGGGGAATGAATTACTATATGGGGGACTTACTTTATGGGGAATGAATTACTATATGGGGGACTTACTTTATGGGGAATGAATTACTATATGGGGGACTTACTATATGGGGAATGAATTACTATATGGGGGACTTACTATATGGGGAATGAATTACTATATGGGGGACTTACTATATGGGGGACTTACTATATGGGGGATGAATTACTATATGGGGGATGAATTAATATGGGGGATGAATTAATATGGGGGATGAATTACTATGTGGGGGATGAATTACTATGTGGGGGATGAATTACTATGGGGGATGAATTACTGGGGGATGAATTACTATATGGGGGATGAATTACTATGTGGGGGATGAATTACTATGGGGATGAATTACTATATGGGGGATGAATTACTATATGGGGGACAATTGCTATATGGGGGACGAATTGCTATATGGGGGATGAATTAACTATATGGGGGATGAATTACTATGGGGGATGAATTACTATATGGGGGATTAATTACTATGCTTACTATGGGGGAATATTACTATACTTACTATGGATGACACATATCATTCATCTACTCTTGGTCCGCCCCCGGGTCCAATATATGAACCCATTGCGAAGTCAAAAAGTTTGCCCACCCCTGGATTAGACTGTATTGTGTGCTGCTGTGCAGAGATAGAAAGCAGCAGGTCCATGCTGACAGGAGAGAGACCTGTGTTTACAAACAGATTTCTCCTCTCTCAGCTTCGCCGACCCAGTGATTGACACACCCAGGAGCCAATAGCAGCGCAGTTAGGGAGGCGCACACCCCCTACCTTGAAGTGCTAAATCAAGTATATTTACATGATTTTGCACAGTGCAGCCGCCCTGTAGCAGTACATCTGCTATGGGGCGGTGGGCAAACGTTTATTAAGAAACAGGAAAATTACAAAAAGAAAAAACGGAACACTGTAATATGGGAAAATATTTCATTAAAAAACATTGCTAAATGCAGTATATCAAAACTTTAATATATAAACAAGCATACATGAAGCACCTATTGAGAAACACTAAACACATTAATTACAGACAGTAATTAAGTTTACAGATAACTACTAGGCACTGTGGTGTATGCTTCAAGTTTGTGTGCATGGAAAGCACAGATTGTGCATTCAGCTTATACACTAGCTATTTAATTCATTGCAGCATAGCATCATTTTACTGGCTGTACTCCAGCCGGCCAAAAATTGAACAAACGCAAGTATAAGGTCTTATTTTTGCTTATGGTGGAGCTGTCGGAAGTAGAGGCTGCAGCTTTATAGAAAAACCTCTACAAACTGTTGAATCCATATTTATCTGAAAGATGTCTGAATGTTAGAGAATATGCTGCAACTTTGTAGCAATAGCCATCTGCAGTCCAGCTGACATACCTGCTGGTTCTTGCATATTGTCTTCTGCTGAATTCAAAGACTTATACAGATATGCAACATCTGGAAACAAATAAACTAAAGATTAACAACTGCATCATTTTACTCTGAAAACAAATATTGTATTTCATGGTAATAAGCTGGATCTTTTGTGACACAAAATATTGAGGCCTCTTGCACACAGGCAATTAAAAAATAAATAAATAAATAACCACATTTGTAGACTTGTAGCTTTTTTTTATTTTTTATTACTGATCATAACACAGGTGCATTATAGTGTATGCAACAATGCACACAGCTACGTAAAGATCCATAATGAATATACAAGCTTATTGACATAAATTGCAACACTAGCAGTTAGAAGATGATGAACTTTATGCATGTATACTCGTATGCCAATTCACACAAGCTCTTTATGGAGCATAACTTGTGTTATTAACTCAGGATTTTTCTGCCAGTAATGATTCTGCATAGCACCATCAGCTAACTATGTCTGTGTGTAAAAGCCCCTTATCCGTATGATTACCAAGTACTCCTATTCATATGATTACCGGGTGCTTCTTTGCCACCCCTCTGAAAAGCAATCCATGGTGGATCACTTTTCAGAGGCATTTGACAAGCAGTGAGGAGATTATGGGGTTGATTTACTAAAGGTAAATAGGCTGTGCACTGCAAGTGCACTTGCTTTAAATCAGAGGAAAAACTCGGATTTAAATGAGGCAAAGCTCTGCTGTTTCTTTCATCCAATCATGTCCAAGCAAAAACGCTGTTGTTTTTATTTCCCTTGCATGTTCCCCTCAGATCTACAGCAACTTCACTTGCAGTGCACGGCCTATTTACCTTTAGTAAATCAACCCCTATATGTTCTCCACACCTGTTTTAACGTGGTATTAAACCCAAAATGCAATATATTGCAGCTTTCCAATCATTACACGTAATGGTTGTATTGATTTTTCTTTTTTATACTTTTCCCCCTGTTTTCACCTGGTGATGTGCCCAGTACCACACCTCCTGTATTAGAATGCCCACAATCTGGATGAAGGAGCACTGTCAATCTGGGGGGTTTAAAGCAGTGTTAGATGTAATAGCAGATTTAGATACACTAACAAATTGAAGCTGAACTCCAGCTAACACTTTACTAACACTAACAGTTGCTACAAACCAATTTTTCCTCTGGGATAAAAGCTACATAAAGGAATAAAAGCTGATTACTTTAAGTACCCCTGTCAGTAGTACATGGTTTGTCTCAACCCTTTGACCGAAACATTTGGAGGATAGCATTTTCATATGCAACACAACAAACTTACTGGTCAGATAACCAGGTGAAAATAAAGGAAAGAAAGCCTGAAAAAGAAAAACTAATGCAGCTATCACATCAAAGAATTTGTAAGCTGCAATAAAATAAATAAAATATGAAAAAATCCAATATAAACAATAAGCCAGCCAGCACACACTGTTGATCACACCAACAGCAGAAAATAATAATATATAACAGTATTTGTAGCTGCTGACTTTTAATTTGTGTTTAGGGTGAAGATCCACTTTAAAGCTTGGTACCAGGAGCAGTGTGGCATATTGTGTATCTGACCAAAAGTTAAAACCTTATGCACAGCAGATGCTAAGGATGCAGGGAGCTCCACAAGCAAAAACATTTGATGTAAAGATTAAAGCTGAACACCAGGCAAAAAAGCTTTAAAAATATTCCTCAATAGCTATGAGGTATGTACAGTTAACTAGTTAAAGTAGAAGAGCTGTGGGTGGGACCCAGCTGGTCCTCCCACTACAGGCTGCCTGAAGAATAGAGTGGGGAGCAGAGACATAACCAGTCACCCTGCACAAGGAGAGAACGTTGTAGTGACCGTTCTGTATTATGGCCTCATCAAGGCCCTCTCCTCCAATCCTTGCTGACTCTTCTCCACCTTCAACTCTCTACTCTCGCCACCCCCCACCTCCACCCAGCACCTCACTCACCGCCCTTGAGATTGCCAATCACGTCAAAAACAAGATTGACACAATTCGCAAGGACATCGCCGCAACTCACACGCCCTCTCAACCCGTCCCCTCTCACACAGCTACCCCCTCACCCCCCCCTCTCCCTCAACATAACCCGCAGGGACTTCGTCGCTTCTCAAACTCCCTCCAACCCCGTTCCCCCTCACTCAGCTACCCCCTCATCACCCCTCTCCCACGGCCCCACCACTGCTCTGACCTCCACTTCCACCCCACCCTACATTCCTCATACTGAAGCCCCCCCAACACTCCGCACCTTTGACCTTACTACAATCAAAGAAGTCTCCAAGATCCTCTCTGATGCCCGCCTCACCACCTGCCCCCTCGACCCTATCCCCTCACAACTCCTACGACCTCCCTCCCCCTCCATCCTACGCTCCCTCACCCACATCTTTAATCTCTCCCTCTCCTCCGGCACTTTCCCCTCCCCTCTGAAACATGCACACATCACCCCCATACTTAAAAAGCCCTCCCTGGACCCCAATGACCCGAACAACCTCAGACCCATCTCCCTGCTCCCATTTACATCCAAACTCCTCGAGCGCCTCGTCTACACCCGCCTAAGCTCTCACCTCAATGCCAACAACCTCCTCGATCCCCTACACTCCGGCTTCCGTCCCCTACACTCCACCGAAACTGCCCTACTTAAACTCTCCAACGACCTGCTAACCGCCAAAGCTAATGGCCACTATTCAGTGCTCCTACTCCTTGACCTCTCTGCGGCCTTCGACACAGTCGACCACCCCCCCTCCTCCTCAAAAAAACTACACTCCCTCGGCCTCAGAGATTCTGCTCTCTCTTGGCTCTCATCCTACCTGTCACAACGCTCTTTCAGCGTTACCTATAATGCTACCACCTCCCCCTCACTCCCCCTCTCTGTTGGGGTCCTTCAAGGCTCTGTCCTCGGGCCCCTTCTCTTCTCCATCTACACCTCCTCCCTTGGCCAACTCATACACTCTCACGGCTTCAACTACCACCTACAGTCAGGTCCATAAATATTGGGACATCGACACAATTCTAACATTTTTGGCTGTATACACCACCACAATGAATTTGAAATTAAATGAACAAGATGTGCTTGAACTGCAGACTGTCAGCTTTAATTTGAGGGTATTTACATCCAAATCAGGTGAACGGTGTAGGAATTACAACAGTTTGCATATGTGCCTCCCACTTGTTAAAGGACCAAAAGTAATGGGACAATTGACTTCTCAGCTGTTCCATGGCCAGGTGTGTGTTATTTCCTCATTATCCCAATTACAATGAGCAGATAAAAGGTCCAGAGTTCATTTCAAGTGTGCTATTTGCATTTGGAAGCTGTTGCTGTCAACTCTCAAGATGAGATCCAAAGAGCTGTCACTATCAGTGAAGCAAGCCATCATTAGACTGAAAAACCAAAACAAACCCATCAGAGAGATAGCAAAAACATTAGGCGTGGCCAAAACAACTGTTTGGAACATTCTTAAAAAGAAGGAACGCACCAGTGAGCTCAGCAACACCAAAAGACCCGGAAGATCACGGAAAACAACTGTGGTGGATGACCGAAGAATTCTTTTCCTGGTGAAGAAAACACCCTTCACAACAGTTGGCCAGATCAAGAACACTCTCCAGGAGGTAAGTGTATGTGTGTCAAAGTCAACAATCCAGAGAAGACTTCACCAGAGTGAATACAGTGGGTTCACCACAAGATGTAAACCATTGGTGAGCCTCAAAAACAGGAAGGCCAGATTAGAGTTTGCCAAACGACATCTAAAAAAGCCTTCACAGTCCTGGAACAACATCCTATGGACAGATGAGACCAAGATCAACTTGTACCAGAGTGATGGGAAGAGAAGAGTATGGAGAAGGAAAGGAACTGCTCATGATCCTAAGCATACCACCTCATCAGTGAAGCATGGTGGTGGTAGTGTCATGGCGTGGGCATGTATGGCTGCCAATGGAACTGGTTCTCTTCTATTTATTGATGATGTGACTGACAAAAGCAGCAGGATGAATTCTGAAGTGTTTCGGGCAATATTATCTGCTCAGATGCAGCCAAATGCTTCAGAACTCATTGGACGCCTCTTCACAGTGCAGATGGACACGGACCCAAAGCATACTGCAAAAGCAACCAAAGAGTTTTTTAAGGGAAAGAAATGGAATGTTATGCAATGGCCAAGTCAATCACCTGACCTGAATCCGATTGAGCATGCATTTCACTTGCTGAAGACAAAACTGAAGGGAAAATGTCCCAAGAACAAGCAGGAACTGAAGACAGTTGCAGTAGAGGCCTGGCAGAGCATCACCAGGGATGAAACCCAGCGTCTGGTGATATCTATGCGTTCCAGACTTCAGGCTGTAATTGACTGCAAAGGATTTGCAACCAAGTATTAAAAAGTGAAAGTTTGATTTATGATTATTATTCTGTCCCATTACTTTTGGTCCCTTAACAAGCGGGATGCACATATGCAAACTGTTGTAATTCCTACACCGTTCACCTGATTTGGTTGTAAATACCCTCAAATTAAAGCTGACAGTCTGCAGTTAAAGCACATCTTGTTCATTTAATTTCAAATTCATTGTGGTGGTGTATACAGCCAAAAATGTTAGAATTGTGTCGATGTCCCAATATTTATGGACCTGACTGTATATGCCGACGACACACAAATCTATCCCTCAACCCCCCACCTCAGTCTCCTCCCGAATCACACACCTACTGAGCGACATATCAGACTGGATGTCGCTCCACTTCCTTAAACTGAACCTCTCCAAAACCAAGTTTCTTGTCTCCCCCCTAGCCCGGACCCCACCCCCCATTGACTTCTCCATCACATCCAACAACGCCAATATCAAACCTGCCCCGCAGGCCAGAGTACTTGGTGTCATTCTGGACTCCAACCTATCCTTCCAGCCCCAAGTCCAATCTTTAACAAGCTCATGCAGATTCCACCTCCGCAACATTGCCAAAATACGCACGTTCCTAGCCCCAGAAACCACTAAACAGCTCATCCACTCCCTCATCATATCACGACTCGACTACTGCACACTCCGCTCCTCACAAGACCTCCTTCTCTCTAGTTCCCTGGTCTCCTCCTCCCATGCCCGCCTCCAGGACTTCTCCAGGGTGTCACCCATCCTCTGGAACTCCCTGCCCCAACCCATCAGATTATCACCTATTCTCCTCTCCTTCACCCTGAAAACCCACCTCTTCAGGGAAGCCTACCCCACCCCCTGCTAACTTGCCAACCTCGTCTACTCTTCCTACCACCCCATCCCCCACAGCTATCTCCTCCTGTGCCACCATCCCCTCCCTCCTAGATTGTAAGCTCCAAAGAGCAGGGCCCTCGATCCCCTCATGTTTTGCATTGTATTGTTGTTGTTCTGTCACATGTTCTGTCCCCCTTTGTAATGTACAGCGCTGAGCGAACTATTGGCGCTTTATAAATACTGTATAATAATAATTATGGGAAATGCCTACACAGAGAAAAAAAGTGCAGAAGTTGTTTCATGCTGGATTACTGCACAGATTTAAAAAAATACATAAAAGACACCAAGATCCCAGTGAGAACATACTGTACATGCCTCTTGCATTTAGATTTATATAGCCCATAGATCAGCATTACAGGCAGTATTATTAGTTTGGCTACATTTTAGCCCATGTATTTAGGATACCTACCATACATTTTTTTAATTGTACTTGCTTTCAAATTTTATTTAAAAAGAAAACAAAAAAAAGGACGTATGAACGTACAGCAGCAGAAAAGGAGTAATTATACATTTTTTGTATTGCCACTATAGAATTCTATGGTGTATACAGTTACAAAACCCTTTTTAAAGGCCAAGTTCACCTTTAACAAATAAAAATAATAAATGCACATATTTTTGCAGGTAAGGATGTGCATTTATGTTTTTCTACAGGAGCCATATTACACTTGCATTCAGTGGATCGCAGGTACAATGTCAGGCTTACTGCAGCTTTCTTGCTCGTCCCTCTGTATGGGCTTTCTATTTGCAAGCTGGAGGAATGCCAATGCACTACAAGGGCACTTAGTTCCCTCTAAGTGCATTGAGAACTGCAAGCCGTCTGCCACAGTGGCAGATGGGACTTGTGGTTTATTCATTCACAGATCTTTGTGAATGAATAACGCAGTTATGTGGGGCAGTAACATGTAACACGTTTAACTTGAGTACCGGTTTCTCTTTTTTTGTACGTTATTCCTTTATGCTGGTTATGTGACGTGTTATGCTTGCATTGTAGAATATACCAGTGATACAAATTTCCCCGATGACGATTTGCACCAAGAAACGTGTCAGGGTTCTATATGGATTATGCTTATGCATCTTATTGTGGTTTTGTGTATATGATTATGGACCAAGTTTTCACCATGTTTTCATATGCACAATGTTTCTTGCATTTTGAAACCAATTATAATATAAATATTCTGGTTTTACTTTTATCAGGATTTTTTAGTTCCTTAAAAATCCCATTTTGCCATCTCCTTTCTTAACACATTCAGAAGGTGAATTTATCATTTAACTATCATAATAATAGTGTTTTTATTTTTTAATCTGAAAAAAACTTGGAACTTACTTTGTTCTGGCTCATTTTTCTTATAAACAACATAGATAACATCACCATTCTTTAAGGGATATGTTTGTTTCTTTACCACCTTCTGCTGGTTAATCACAGTGCCATTTGTGCTGCAAAAAAAGAGCAACATTTAAACTGCAATTACTGCAAAAACACAACAGTATTTGTAGTGCATTAACATAGCATACAGATCAACAACTCTCCATGTTGTTAATCAGGAAGGAAAATAAGATTACATTTAAATACTGAATCAACTGTTTATGGCATTAAGTTTGCCTTGGATGGATGGCAAGTCATCACATGAAACTAAACTAGCAAGGTCATAACCATTTGTTAAGGAAGCACTGTCATCACGCAAAATGATCTTAGACAGTTACCTGCAAAATAAGTTGTATTATACTTGCCCCTCCAGGGGAGTGTTTCACCTATCTTCACTCAGCTGAAACACTACTGCCTCTGTCAAAACTTTCATCATTTGATGCTTCCATGAGTGTGAGATGTTGGTTTTCCTCATGTCACTGCTCTTTTCTATACTGACGTAGGGGCAGGAAGATGAGCACCTAGCTGTGTGTGGGAAACAGGTATCCAATACTTCAAAGTGATGAATGCTAAATATCCTGACAGGGGCTATAGGACTTCAGAGGAGCAAATAAACAGATGCTGCCAAAGAGGTCATCTGATACTTCCTTTGCAGGGAATACTTTTTGGTTTAAGACACTGTTGCTTTAAGGTGGTTAATTCCAGTCCTCTGAGAGACAGAATTAAAAAAAAAAAAAAAAAAAAATTCAGGAAATCACATTGTATGATTTTTAAAGAATGTATTTGTCTTGCACTGCGGAACATAAGTATTTGAACACCTGAGAAAATCAGTGTTAATATTTGGTACAGAAGCCTTTGTTTGCAATTACAGAGGTCAAACGTTTCCTGTAGTTCTTGACCAGGTTTGCACACACTGCAACAGGGATTTTGGCCCACTCCTCCACACAGATCTCTTCTAGATCTGTCAGGCTTCGGGGCTGTCGCTGAGCAATACGGAGTTTCAGCTCTCTCCAAATATGTTCTATTGGATTTAGGTCTGGAGACTGGCTAGGCCACTCCAGAACCTTGATATGCTTCTTACGGAGCCACTCCTTGGTTAACCTGGCTGTTTGCTTCGAGTCGTTGTCATGTTGGAAGACCCAGCCACGACCCATCTTCAATGCTCTGACTGAGGGAAGGAGGTTGTTGCTCAAAATCTCACAATAAATGGCCCCATTCATCCTCTCCTTAATACAGTGCAGTCGTCCTGTCCCCTTCGCAGAAAAGCACCCCCAAAGCATGTTACCACCCCCATGCTTCACAGTAGGGATGGTGTTCTTGGGATGCAACTCATCCTTCTTTTTCCTCCAAACACGAGTGAAGTTTAGACCAAAAAGTTCTACTTAGGTCTCATCTGACCACATGACTTTCTCCCATGCCTCCTCTGGATCATCCAGATGGTCATTGGCAAACTTCATACGGGCCTGGACATGTGATGATTTGAGCAGGGGAACCTTCCGTGCAATGCATGATTTGAAACCATGACGGCGTGGTGTTCTACCAACAGTGACCTTTGAAACTGTGGTCCCAGCTCTCTTCATGTCATTGACCAGCTCCTCCCTTGTAGTTCTGGGCTGATTCCTCACCTTTCTTATCATCAGTGATACCCCACGAGGTGAGATCTTGCATGGAGCCCCAGTCTGAGGGAGACTGACAGTCGTCTTTAGACTCTTCCATTTTCTAGCAATTGCTTCAACAGTTGATCTATTTTCACCAAGCTGCTTGGCAATTGCCCCGTAGCCCTTTCCAGCCTTGTGGAGGTCCACAATTTTGTCTCTGGTGTCCTTTGACAGCTCTTTGATCTTGCCCATGGTAGTAGTTGGCGTCTGACTGACTGTGGGGTGGACAGGTGTCTTTAAAGAGCTCAGAGAGGTGCTACTAAGTTAGATTAATGAGTGGAGTAGAGGTGGACTTTTTAAAAGGCACAGTAACAGGTCTCTGAGAGCCAGAATTCTTGCTGTTTCTTAGGTGTTCATATACTTATGTTCAGCAGTGCAAGACAAATAAATTCTTTAAAAAATCATACAATGTGATTTACTGAATTTGTTTTTTTCAAATTCTGTCTCCTAGAGTGGGAATGCACCTACAATGTGAATTTCAGACCCCTCCATGATTTCTAAGTGGGAGAACTTGCAAAATCTCAGGGAGTTCAAACACTTCTGTTCCTCAAAAAAGGGTAAATGTATATAATTTCACACGCATGTATGTGTACACATTATAAACCCCTTCCTATTCCTTTTTAAAATATTAATACTTTATAAAACAATATGCAATTTGTACATACAGTTGTGTTCAAAATAATAGCAGTGTGTTGAAAAAAGTGAATAAAACTCAAAATCCTTCTAATAGCTTTTATTTCCATACACACAAATGCATTGGGAACACTACACATTCTATTGCAAATCAAAACATGAAGAAAAATATATCAAATTTGTGTTGTTCCTCTAAAAAAAATTGAAGAAAAGTGAATATTAGACTGTTCAAAAAAATAGTGTTTTTGTATTCTTCTTTACAAACTCAAACATTCACTATATAAACTGAAAAATGTTTGAAGATTTTGCTTTCCTTTGAATCACTTAATTTTTAGTTGTATAAGCACTGTTTCTGAGAACTGCTGTACATCTGTGTTGCATGGAGTCAACCAACTTCTGGCACCTGTGAACAAGTATTCCAGCCCAGGATGATTGGACTACATTCCACAGTTCTTCTCTATTTCTTGGTTTTGCCTCAGAAACTGCATTTTTGATGTCACCCCACAAGTTTTCTATTGGATTAAGATCCGGGGATTGGGCTGGCCACTCCTAACGTCAATCTTGTTGGTCTGGAACCAAGATGTTGCACATTTACTGGTGTGTTTGGGGTCGTTGTCTTGTTGGAACACCCATTTCAAGGGCATTTCCTCTTCAGCATAAGGCAGCATGACCTCTTCAAGTATTCTGATGTATTCAAACTGATCCATGATCCCTGGTATGCGATAAATAGGTCCAACACCATAGTATGAGAAACATCCCCATATCATGATGCTTGCGCAACCATGCTTCACTGTCTTCAGTGTACTGTGGCTTGAATTCAGTGTTTGGGGGTCGTCTGACAAACTGTCTCCGGCCACTAGACTCAAAAAGAACAATCTTACTTTCATCAGTCCACAAAATGTTGCGCCATTTCTCTTTAGGCCAGTCAATGTGCTCTTTGGCAAATTGTAACCTCTTCAGCACACGTCTTTTTTTCAACAGTGGGACTTTGCGGGGGCTTCTTGCAGATAGCTTGGCTTCACATAGGCGTCTTCTAATTGTAACAGTACTCACAGGTAACTTTAGACCTTCTTTGATCTTCCTGGAGCTGATTGTTGGCTGAGTCCTTGCCATTTTGGCTATTCTTCTATCCATTCGAAAGGTAGTTTTTCGCTTTCTTCCACGTCTTTCAGGTTTTGGTTGCCATTTTAAAGCATTTGCGATCATTTTAGCTGAGCAGCCTATCATTTTCTGCACCTCTTTATATATGTTTTCCCCTCTTCAATCAACTTTTTAATCAAGGTACGCTGTTCTTCTGAACAATGTCTGGAACAACCCATTTTCCTCAGAATTTCAGAGAGAAATGCACTGTAACCAGCATGTAAAACATTTGCTGCCTTTCTTCCTTAAATAAGGGCAATAATTGCCACCTGTTTTTCAAAGAATGAATGACCTAATAGAACTCCACACTGTTATTATTTTGAACATGCCCCTTTCAATTAGTGATTCAATTACACAGAATCAGCAGCATGTATGTCATGACTGTTGGGTCTGTTGAATTTCTATTACTCTACTACACCTGCTAGTAAATTATTTGCCATGTAGAAATATAATTTCTACCAAAAACAGTGATTGATCAGGTTAGTGATGTCTTACTGCTATTATTTTGAACACAACTGTATGTGATAATATATCAGATCCTCATGAACCTCTTTAAAATAGTTATAATGTGCACGCATGTACACATACATGTGTGCAAAAATATATACATTTACCCTTTTTGCACAAAATCTACTGACATGCCTTTTATGGATATCCTGTTTTTTATATACATTCATTTTTATTACATATTATAGTCTTAGTTTCTAGTTTATGGTAATCTACTGTGTTCTGTGTTACTTATTACTATATTATATATACACTATATTGCCAAAAGTATTGGGACGCCTGCCTTACACGTTCATGAACTTTAAGGGAATCCTTTAAGGGAGCCTTAGTCCGTAGGGTTCAATATTGAGTTTGCCCACCCTTTGCAGCTATAACAGCTTCAACTCTTCTGGGAAGGCTGTCCACAAGGTTTAGGAGTGTGACTATGGGAATGTTTGACCATTCTTTCAAAGGAGCATTTGTGAGGTCCGGTACTGATGTCGTACAAGAAGGCCTGGCTTGCAGTCTCTGTTTTAATTCATCCCAAAGGTGTTTTATCAGGTTGAGGTCACGACTCTGTGCAGGCAAGTCAAGTTCCTCCACCCCAAACTCACTCATCCATGTCTTTATGAACCTTGCTTTGTGCACTGGAGAGCAGTCATTTTGGAACAGGCAGGGGCCATCCCCAAAACGCTGGGGAGCATGAAATTGTCCAAAATGTCTTGGTATGCTGACACCTTAAGAGTTTCCTTCACTGGAACTAAGGGGCCAAGCCCAACCCCTGAAAAACAACCCCACACCATAAATCCCCCTACACCAAACTTTACCTTGGCACAATGCAGTCAGGTAAGTACCGTTCTCCAGGCAACCGCCAAACTCAGACACATCCATCAGATTGCCAGACAAGAAGGCAAGCTTGATTCGACCCCTGAGAAAACACGTCTCCACTGCTCTAGAGTCCAGTGGTGGCGTGCTTTATACCACTGCATCCAATGATTTGCATTGCACTTCGTGACGTAAGGCTTGGATGCAGCTGCTCAGCCCTGGAAACCCATTCCATGAAGCGCTCAACGCATTGTTGTGCTAATCTGAAGGCCACACAAAGTTTGAAGGTCTTTAGCTATTGACTCTGCAGAAAGTTGGTGACTTCTGCACACTGTGCGCTTCAGCATGAGCTGACCCTGCTCTGTCATGTTACGTGGCCTACCACTTTTTGGCTGAGTTGTTCCCAGTTAATTCCACTTTTTTTTATAATACCACTAACAGTTAACTGTGGAATATTTAGTAGCAAGAAAATGTCACAGACGGGCTTATTGCAATAGAGGTGGTACACTGAGGAAACGTTCACCGCTCATCTGAGCAGGTATGTCTGTGAACTCGCCAGCTGCTGGTGAACACATTGCATTCATAATAGTGGATAATAGGTCAATGCTGATGGGGCTGTGTGAATTCAGCTGATAAATTATACTGACCCATCAGCGTTGACTCCACTATTGTGATTGCAGTGTGTTTACTGGCAGCTGGCTGTAACAGAGATGCTTGCTGTATTAGAACCCTGTCAGGGTGTTGTGTGTATTAATTCCACTTTTTCCTGCAGTCAGTCACCGGTCCTGTGGGGTGGGATTGCCACACAGTCAGTAATTCATTGCTCCTTTTTAATATTATATTTTTCAAAGTGAGAATTGGAGAGAGGGGTTGGTTGCTTCAGTGCTGGCTGTAACTACCCCATTGGAACACCCATAAATTTGGCTTCAGTCTGGGGCAGAACTACAGCCAGTATAAACCCAACTGAAAATAGAAATAGAACTGGACAGAACATGCCACCTGCTGCAAACCCAGCTGCATGGGGCCACTGGGAGTGTCTGTCCCTCAGCAGCCCCCTTGTTAGGGGGCTATGTGTTTATCAATGCTGTCTTCACCAGCAAGAAACAGAGGCAGCATCCTGTTCTCCAAGATTAGAATAAGGGGAACAAATAAGGGGCATTCACTGTTGAGTTTACTTACACTTAAAAAAGCAGGCAAAACCCATAAAGTGGTCACTAAATGCATGGTGTAGTAGACAAAACAAGTGTTATGTCTATGTGAGTGATGTAACCCAACAGATATCTACTAGAAAAAAAGAAAATTAAAACCAATATGATTGGAAACTGAGTCATATACAGTACACTTCATTATGAAATATACCCAGTTTGGGTTTGGTTCCGTTGGCTAAGCCATGAAACAATAATGCCAAGTTACCTAGTGTCCTCTAGTGAAACAAGACCAGACTGTTCATCCACTATGATTTTACAGTGTTCTCCAGACACCAACTTGTTTCCAGGGAATGACAGATCGCAGCCTGTAGGAACACATAACAGATCAGACCTACAACATGATACAGAGCAGTGTTAGGAATACAGAATGTGACTTCAAAATGACTTTCCCCTTAACAAATCAACCATTCATTCAGTTAACAAGGGGCAGCATACATGCCTAACGTGCAATAACGCAATCTCAACCTTACAATGTGAACTAAATGTGTTAATACCAGTATCTACTGAAGAAGCCCGTATGTGGGTACAACACATCTAGGGAGGAGGAGCCCACCTTTGTTACCATTACTTGCTGCTATCTTGCTGGTGAGCATTGGAATTTTGGATATATGTTGTTTTTATATATGAATATTATGTAAGTGTTCTTATAATAATGAGGAAAATAAAGTCTCAAACAGAGAGCACTATGTTTTGGCCTTTTTATTACATGGTCACATATCCATCAATCTCTGAGCATTAGCAGTGGAGGAGTGGGATATCACCAGGATAAGAAACAGATTTTGGGACCAGAAGGGCTGCTGTATTGTGAATGGGATGAGCTCTTAATGATATATTGGAGGTGAGCAGGTTTTTCACCTGGTGTGGTGGAGGTACACAGTCACGTGTGGATGTGCATGCATTGCGAAGATTTAATTAGATGTTTAGATTTTGGACTTTGGTTACATTAATATTTATTTTTATACAAATAGTGTTATGTTTATTGCGCTGCACTTTTAATTGTATTATTTTTTTTCTTGCAGTTTTGAATCACATCATTCACCAAGTACAGAAATGTCAACTTTCTACTAGGCTTTTTTTAATCCTCCAAGCACAAGACCGGTCCCTGCAGCTCCTGCCCCCCACACGCTAAGGCATACCTCCCAACTTTTTTTTCTCAAACAGGGAAAAGGGCCTGAATTTATAAAATATTTTTCACCTGTTATTGTGGATGCATTTAACCGCCTCCCGCCTGTGATATATCGGCCTCCTGGATCCATACCCCGCTTCCTGGATGACTTTTCCTCCTGGCTACCCTTCTTCCTCTCCTCTGAGCTACCCACCATCATCCTTGGGGATTTCAACATCCCTGTCAACCTCGACAACCCGGACACATACCATCTCCTCCACTTAACCTCCTCCTTTGCACTTGCACAGTGCATACAATCCACCACTCACTCCAACGGTAATATTCTTGATCTTGTCTTCTCCAACCGCTGCGCTCCCCACAACCTCACTAACACCCCCTTCCCTCTCTCTGACCACAACCTGATTACCTTCTCTATCTCCTCGTCCTCCAACGCCTACCCCTCCAAATGTCACACTACTACCAGCCGTAACCTCCGCAACCTTAACCCTGCCCCCCTCCACTCTGCAGCTGATCAACTCCATGACCGCATCCTCCACCTGTCCTGCCCCGACTTGGCCATGACTGCCTACAACAACGCGCTGTCAACAGCCCCTGACTCACTAGCGCCTTTAACCACACACATCAGACCCCGACCGCTCCAGCCCTGGCAGACTGATCACACCAAAACCCTCAAACGACACAGTCGTGTCCTGGAGCGACTATGGCGCAAAACAAAATCCAACAAGCCTTCACCCGCTACAAATCTGCCTTCCACACCTACACCTCCTCCCTCCATGCAGCCAAACAAGCCTACTTCCTGACCCTCATCAAGACCCTCTCCTCCAATCCTCGCCGACTCTTCTCCACCTTCAACTCTCTACTCTCGCCACCCCCACCTCCACCCAGCACCTCACTCACCGCCCTTGAGATTGCCAATCACTTCAAAAACAAGATTGACACAATTCGCAAGGACATTGCCCCAACTCACACGCCCTCTCAACCCGTCCCCTCTCACACAGCTACCCCCTCATCCCCTCCTCCCCCTCGATATAACCCGCAGGGACTTCGTCGCTGCTCAAACTCCCTCCAACCCCGTTCCCCCTCCCTCAGCTACCCCCCTCATCCCCCCTCTCCCACGGCCCCACCACTGCTTTGACCTCCACTTCCACCCCACCCTACATTCCTCATACTGAAGCTCCCCCAACACTCCACACCTTTGACCTTACCTCCATCGAGGAAGTCTCCAAGATCCTCTCTGATGCCCGCCTCACCACCTGCCCCCTCGACCCTATCCCCTCACAACTCCTACGACCTCCCTCCCCCTCCATCCTACGCTCCCTCACCCACAACTTCAATCTCTCCTCCGGCACTTTCCCCTCCCCTCTGAAACATGCACACATCACCCCCATACTTAAAAAGCCCTCCCTGGACCCCAATGACCCGAACAACCTCAGACCCATCTCCCTGCTCCCCTTTACATCTCAACTCCTCGAGCGCCTCGTCTACACCCGCCTATGCTCTCACCTCAACGACAACAACCTCCTCGATCCCCTACAGTCTGGCTTCCGTCCCCTACACTCCACCGAAACCGCCTTACTCAAACTCTCCAACTAACCGCCAAAGCTAATGGCCACTATTCAGTGCTCCTACTCCTTGACCTCTCTGCGGCCTTCGACACAGTCAACCACCCCCTCCTCCTTAAAAACTACACTCCCTCGGCCTCAGAGATTCTGCTCTCTCCTGGCTCTCATCCTACCTGTCACAACGCTCTTTCAGCATTACCTATAATGCTACCACCTCCCCCTCACTCCCCCTCTCTGTTGGGGTCCCTCAAGGCTCTGTCCTTGGGCCCCTTCTCTTCTCCATCTACACCTCCTCCTTTGGCCAACTCATACACTCTCACGGCTTCAACTACCACCTCTATGCCGACGACACACAAATCTATCTCTCAACCCCCCACCTCACCCCCTCAGTCTCTGCCCGAATCACACACCTACTGAGCGACATATCAGATTGGATGTCGCTCCACTTCCTTAAACTGAACCTCTCCAAAACCGAGTTTCTTGTCTTCTCCCCCCAGCCCGGACCCCACCCCCCATTGACTTCTCCATCACATCCAACAACGCCAATATCAAACCCGCCCTGCAGGCCAGAGTACTTGGTGTCATTCTGGACTCCAACCTATCCTTCCAGCCCCAAGTCCAATCTTTAACAAACTCGTGCAGACTCCACCTCCGCAACATCGCCAAAATACGCGCGTTCCTAACCCCAGAAACCACTAAACAGCTCATCCACTCCCTCATCGTATCACGACTCGACTACTGCAACTCCCTCCTCACTGGCCTGCCTCGCCGCTGGCTATCCCCGCTTCAGTCGATCCTGAATACGGCCACCAGACTCATTCACCTTTCCAACCGCTCCGTTTCCGCCACCCCCCTCTGCCAATCCCTCCACTGGCTTCCGATTGCGCAACGGATCAAATTCAAAATCCTAACATTGACGTACAAAGCCATCCACCATACTGCCCCGAACTACATCACTGACCTAATATCCAAGTACCGCCCAGCACGCACACTCCGCTCCTCACAAGACCTCCTTCTCTCTAGTTCCCTGATCTCCTCCTCCCATGCCCGCCTCCAGGACTTCTCCAGGGTGTCACCCATCCTCTGGAACTCCCTGCCCCAACCCATCAGATTATCACCTACTCTCCTCTCCTTCACCCTGAAAACCCACCTCTTCAGGGAAGCCTACCCCACCCCCTGCTAACTTGACCGACCTCCTCCACTCCTTCCTACCACTCCATCCCCACAGCTATCTCCTCCTGTACCACTATCCCCTCCCCCCTAGATTGTAACCTCCAAAGAGCAGGGCCCTCAATCCCCTTATGTTTTGCATTGTATTGGTATTGTTCTGTCACATGTTCTGTCCTCCTTTGTAATGTACAGCGCTGAGCGAACTATTGGCGCTTTATAAATACTGTATAATAATAATAATATGATGGACGCAAGGCGGTTCTCTCGTTCTGGGAGGATGTCACATGACGTCCTCCCATTCTAACCGCGCATGCGCGGCTTCCAGAGCGCGCAGCACGGTGATCAGTGGTGCGCTGTGTCCCTCGGAAAGAGCCGAAGATATAGGCTCGGTCATGTGATCAGCTGTGTCCAATCCAGGGGCGGACTGACCATTTGGAAACTCGGACACTGCCCGAGGGCCCGGGGTCAGTAGGGGGCCCCATGAGATACCCCTGGTACCTTTTTCATAGGCTTTTTTGAGTTTGGGCAAGGACACGGGGGCCCCATGATCCCCTATTGCCCAGGGGCCCCATGAGTTGTCAGTCCACCCCTGGTCCAATTACAGCTGATCACATGTAAACAGGGAAATGCCGGTTATGGCATTTCTCTCCCCACAAGCTGTCACGCTGACAGCTCGTGAGGAGAGGAGAGCCGGTAAATTGGCATTCCTCGGAGGGGACATGTACACAGATCACAGAGCACTGATGGTCAGTGTGCCCTGATGAAATTTGTAGCCCCAGCAGCGCCACCTTCAGTGTCAGCTCTCAGTGTTCATCCATGCCACCTGCCAGTGCCCATCAGTGCCACATCAATGCCACATATCAGTGCCCATCTGTGCTGCCTTTCAGTGTCACCCATCAGTCCCAGTCAGTGCCACCTATCAGTGTTGTGCCCAACAGTGCCAGTCAGTGCCGCCCAACAGTGCCAGTCAGTGCCGCCCAACAGTGCCAGTCAGTGCCGCCCAACAGTGCCATATATGAGTGCTGCCTTTCAGTGCCCATCAGTGATGCCTGTGAATGCCCATCAGTGCCACCTACCAGTGCCTCCTCATCAGTGCCCATCAGTGCCACCTATCAGTGCAGCCTCATTAGCGCACATCAGTGAAGGAGAAAAATCACTTATTTACAAAATTTTATAACAAAAACTAAGAAAAAACATTTTGGTTTTTTTTCTAAATTTTCAGTGGTTTTTGGTTTAAGAAAAAAAAAAAAAACCCAGAGATGATTAAATACCACCACAAAAAGCTCTGTCACAAAAAAATTATAAAAATTTCATATGGGTACAGTGTTGCATGACCACGCAACTGTCATTCAAAGTGCAACAGCACTGAAAGCTGGAAATTGGCCTGGGCAGGAAGCGGGTATAAGTGCCCTGTAAGCTAGTGGTTAAACATGTTGCAAGGCAGTCCTTTTAAAACTTTTTTGGAGCATGTATGACGTTTACCAAGAATATCTAAAGTAATCACGGAAGCAATTCCTGAGTGGAGAGACAGCAGGAGATAGCCCTTGGGAAACCTGTTTTCTATAGCGAGTTTCACCTATATGAAAGTATGGGTCTTATTGGAAGGTGAGTGGCCATTTCATATGGGTGAAGGAGCGCAGTGTTCAGTTTGCATCAGAGTGGTGGAGTTTTTTGGAAAGTAAGGACTGTTATACCATTTCTTTGAGCAAGCTGACCATTCGAATTTGGAGTGGACACTATTTACCACTATTTGTTTATTATTGGTACTCGTACAGCAGTGGGTGCATATATCCTCTTATGCACGCATGTTATTTTATGGGATTATATTGTATGGTCATGTATGTATTTATTTATTTGTTTATGTGATAGCACTGAGGTTGTGGTAATAACACATTTAGTAACAGTTTAGTTCACATTGTAAGCTTGAGATTAGGCTGCACCACTATTATCCTATCCTATATATACACTATCATATACATTACAAAAGGTTTTCACAATTTATTTTTTGTGGCAGCGCACGAGTAATTCATATTTTATATACATGTCTAACAGCAACAGTTATTGTTCTAAACTTGCGGCAGACATTCCTTTAAACATGACAATGACAAGAGCCATTAAAATTATTTAACTAAGTTACCCAGAGACATTAGACGACAGTTGTTTCCAGTCATATCGTATATATCTATAGGTGCTGTTTATGACTGCTGCACAATAACATTCAAAAGGGGGGAGGAAAAAAAAAAAAAAAAAACAGTACAAGCAAGTTAGAAATTATTTGAAACTTTTTCACTAAGTTGTCATCTTTACAAGCTATTTCTCATACACAGTATAGGCATGCTGACAATTACATCCCAAAATACATTCTGCTACTCTCCCCAAGTATGGGGCTACCACATGCATGAGACTTTTTCACAACCTAGACACATAGAGGGGTCCAACATCCAAGTACGCCTTTGGGCTTTCAAGGAGCATAAATTACAAATCTAATTTCCTGACAACCTATCATATTTCTTGAGTCCATGAAGGACCAGGACAGTAGAAACACCCACAAAATGGCCACATTTCGCAAATCAAACACCTCAAGGTATTTTTGAAGAGGCATGGTGAGTATTTGAAAGACTCCATTTTTAGCCACAAGTTTTTGTAAAATGCAGAATAAAAAAAAAAAAAAAAAAAAAAAAAAAGTTTGACAAGATAATTTAAAAGTTGCAGCGAGTAAATAGATATCCAACTTGTCAAACCTTAAAAAATTTGCATGCACTCATGAAATGGCGCTGAACTTCAGTACCCTGTATTTACTATAAGTGACGCTTTTAAAGCCCCTTCTAGGTCATCACTAGAATAGGCTTGGTGTGCGTGGCGATATGTAACATGTGTATCGCAATCGACATTCATGCGTAGGCACCCCAGCGTGTGCTTTTACATTTGTACTTGTGTATATGTGGGGGGGGGGGGGGGGGAATGTTATGTGCTTGGGTGTAACTTTAATTTTTTACAATTAAAAAAATTGATTTTTTTGATTGATTTTTTTGGTGACAGGTTCTCTTTATTAAGCCATCCAAGGTCTAAAAGACCCTGGATGTCTCCCCTCCCTCTGCTCCCCTGAATGTGATGCAGTGCACATCGCATTGCATTACATTCTTTCCCGGCCTCAATTGCCAGGACTCTCTCAACGGGGAGCCGGAAGTGACATCATAACATCACTTCTGGGTCAGGACAAGAAGGGGAGGGGAGCAGATGTGTCCGCTCTCCTCCCTCCATTCTAGCCACCGGCACTGTGTGGAAGCATTCAGGTGAATGCTTCCACCTGACAGGTGAGCCCTGCTGATTGCCTGCAGGGTTGAAGGTAAAAAAGAACTACCTGCCCGGCGCTTGGAACTATATGTCCAGGGCATCGGGCAATAGGAATTCAACATCCATGTATAAGTACCTGTAATAATAAAAATCGGCACCCTTTCCACTATTGAACTGAACATGTATAGTTAATGGTTAACTACTGGCTGGCAAGTTTTGGATATTTGGAAGACACAAAAACATTAACTTTAAATTTACGTTTCTTTGATAAGAATTTTCAAACAGCTGTAAATCCACCACTGCAGTAATTCGTAAGGAATTATTTTCCAATGCTGCCACGAAGAAATATAAACTTCTGAAGTGGGTGCTCTAAAGGCCAGTTTCTTTGATTTTGGAAAGTTTTACACAGGTAAATTCCTGTAAAAAAAAAAAAATCTTCAATATTGTCCAACCTTTCAGTTATAGCATCTATACAAGAAAAAGCTTACACTCTTTCTGTATTATCTTCTGTTAGTACAGAAGTGACAAAAAAAACAAAATCACACAGTTTAGGAAAATTAATGTCTACCCCAGAAAGTCTTAAAGTGACAGTAAACAAAACAATATCCCTAATAAAAATAATTCACAGATCTACTACTTAATGACCCTGTAATTTATTTTTGTTCAATTTATGGAATTTGTTCTTACTGCATTTTTATGCCTCCTTGTAACATACTCTGTGAGCTCCCATACCTCTCCTTTCCTCCCCTATATTATATCTGTTTGGTTGTAAGGAACAATGCATGCTAGTTGAGGTGATGTGCACTGCTCTAGGCACACTACAAATCCCATAGTCCATAGCGCCTAGTCGAACTCGGGAGCAAGCAAGAGAGGTATAGAGAAGGAATGTAGCCACCCTTTAAAATGAAATCAGATCACATCAGGAAATAAAAAGGAATTTGGATTCAGAGGAAGCTGAGAGCAATAAAAATAACTTTTTTTTAGTTAAGAATACATACTTGAATATATATACACACACACACACACACACACACATACATACATACATACCATATACACACTTTCTTTTTTTTTTTTTAATTTTAGAGTTTAGAGTACATATGAAGGCCCACTATGGTGAAAAAATTTGTATTTTGGTAACTGTATGGGTTTAATACCCATAAGCTTGTATTTAGAATATAGGGTTTGTTTTGTTTTTTTATTTCACAGGACTTGATTTATATTTGTATTTGCTTTTACATGCAGACCACGCTCCAGCAAACGTGACAGCTATACTAACCAGGGTGCTTGCTTATACATTTAATTATGGGATTTAAAAACTTTTCTAAATAAAGATTAAAATAAAGACACACACAATAACAAACTGCTGCTGTAACTGTTTAAAATAGATTAGCTGGAGATGGGCTGTTATTTGTTGGTGGCTTACTTTTTAGCAGGTACATATGTAAAAAAGATCTACTTAGCAGCAACAGGGAGATTTTAGGAACACTATATACCCAGAACTTATCATGAAGGAACTAGTATTTCATGTTCTGATTTGTCAAACACTTACAAGAGTAAGGCCCCATGCACACTAACATTTTTAAAGTACCTTGAAGCTGTTATTAGCATTTTTTTCCTGCTCCTAGAAACTAAATAGAGTTTCACTATGTGTCCATGCACACTACTTTAGGCTATTAGCATTTTTTTAGCTACACCCGTCTAGGAGCAGAAAAAAAAACCCAAAACTTTTTGTAGAGTTTTTTTGGAGCATTTTTCCAGCAGAAAAAAGCTAAACGCTTTTAAATGCTATTAAAACAATAGTAAAATGCTAATTGAAAAAATGCTATTACCAGCGGTTTTGAGCTTAAAAAAACGCTAATGTGCATGGAGCCTATTCATGAGTAAACAAGGCTTCATTTACTAGAAATAAAGAAAACATATGATTGTTAAATAATAACTGAACTCTGCCACTATTCACTTTTTGAGTTCATGTCCACTTTAAAGTGTATGTCTGGGCAAAGATAAAAAGTCATAGTCGGCACATCTCTGCAATTTCCTCATGTTCTGCCTCTCTGAGCACATGATCTCCTCTTGTGAGCTGACAATGCTTCCTCTGCTGCACTTAAATCCCAAGCATGGTTGCCAATTCTGCCTCTGTTGAACTTTGTCTCGCATTTCCATAACATAAAGAAGTGTTCTGTAGTCCAGCAATAGAAGAAAACTCAGGCAGGGCTGAAAATACTGATTAGGATTTCAGTCCATCATAGGCAGAGTTAACAGCCTGAGGCTCCTGGTTGGCTGAGCTGCACTGAGGTTGGTTAAGCATAGCTCAATCACGCAAGTACTTCAAAAGGGGGACAAGGGACCGTGTTCAGGCATTGGGAGGAGCTCAGCAAGACGAGGGGAAAGAAAAGGCCCAAGTTAGGGATGCACCAATACCCGCAAATTGCACTGCAAAGAAAAACATGCTATTTCAACATGAATGCGATTCCTGTCCAAATCGCATGCAGTTTCCCCACTGCTCCTGTGTGAACCCAGGCTTGTCATAGCCTGAGTTCACACAGGAGCAGTGCAGCAGAGAGTGGGAGAGAAGGGTGTATCAGGATGTATACCTGATGCAGATGCTCTGTATACTCAGCTGAAGGGGAGGAGAGAAAGCGGTGGGGATTTGAAATCCCCACCGCTTTCTCTCCTCTCCTTGCAAGGATGACTGTTTGGGCTAGAGGGCATTTGATTGGTTAGCACAGTCACATGGACAGTGCTGACCAATCAGAAGCTATCTAGCCCGTACTATCATCCCTTCAAGGAGAGGAGAGAAA